GATAAACGAAATGAAAAAATGCATGAGGATCCATAGCCATAAAAACGACCACTCCAAAAGGCCAAAGTATACTATTTACTTGCGGCCTCCTGCCTTCTGTTGGCTTTTGATGACCTTCTTGACTATCTTTGCCTCCTCGACAAGGAATGCTCGTAGGATGCTGTTCACACACAGTTTAGATAAAGAGAGACATGAAGTAATGAAGAAACGCACCGCGACTTGACACAGTCTCCGCATCGCGAACCACCATAAGCCCTGCACACAGTCTTTGGCGCTTGGAAATCGTTGCGTATTGGCGGGGACGGAGAGCAGGGACCTATAGCCACGCACAAACAAAAAATCAAATTCCAATCAACAATCTAGTCAAAAGAGACGTACACCAGGAAGACCAATACCGCAATCACCGCATTTCGGCTGAGTAGGAAGTTTCTTAGGTGGTGGTATACGAGTTTTCCACCTGGGGTCTTTACGATGCGTCTACGGCTTGAGGTGGTGTTGTAGGGTTGGCGTTTACGGAGGGTGACGCGTTGAGCCATTTGGGGAGCTGTTGATGGGGTTTCGTTAGTGAATTCTGTCAAAACTTTGCGATTTTGCTGTCTCCTTCCTCGTGGACTTACGTTATTTGAGCTTGTGCAAGTTCAGCATTAGCTTTATTTTGTGTTAGACAGCGATGAGACACACCTTGAGCAGAGGTCTTGAGGTCGTTTGGGCGGCTTCAATACACCAGTCGCCGAACGGAGGGTTGTGGCTGATTGGTAATATACAGTACTTCGGCAATGTCCGGCTGGCCTGTTTAGACTGAGTCTCTGCGCTTGTTTGGTGCTTGTCATCCACTCGGCGATGCGGTTCATGTTTCGAATAGTGACAGAGTTCGAGCACGGTACGTCGTGCCTTGCCTGTCACTACTCGTTGAGATGCCCACAGAGCCTAAGACCATAGTTCACATCTACTGGTTCATTTTAACGAGCATTGCAGTGCCGCTGGTGGTATCACCTTCGATACATCATGCGTTCTTCCCATAATCGCGTTTTTACCTGTGTGTTGGGATCGCAGGACTCTAACTGCGTCACACTACTCAGTGAAATGCACGCTTTGCCTGATGCTGACTCGGACACGCTCCTGAAACTTCGAGCCATTTGTGAACCTTTGTCGAGTTCTGCATCAAGTTTGCTCGTTCATATATTTTATCTCCGACCATTTTCCTGGATGATTCGGAGTCGACACTCAAGTTACTATACTGTCTTACTATGCCAGAACTGACTGGTAGGTGGGACCGTCCTTGGATATTTCAGTGCGTTGATAATTTAGTCCTGGTTTTTTTGCACAGAATGAAGGCCTCACTTTTTTTTAAAAAAAGTTTCAACTGCGTGATGTCATGTACATTCAATATTCATTGATGTGGAGCGCGCACATTTTTCAGGACTAAGGATTCGTAGCACATGGTTATACACCCTATAAAAGTGGCATGTACGATGATATACCTGACCACTTTCTGGGTTTTGATGTTTGCTTATGGCGCTTGTCATCTACATTTTCAGATGCTCCACGTGACGGTATGTAGTTTATCTTCGATAGATCATACATTTTTCGTGAGTAGTCGCTGGAGGCCATTCTTCATCAACTCTCCTGTGGTTTTCGTGACTAGGGTCAAATATCTACAATAGTTCAATGCGTGAAGTTATGTGAAACGTGTATATGTGAACACTGGCAGCGCACTTGTAGAGCATTATAGTATGCGGCCGCCCATAACATGCAAAACTAATGCAGACGACCTCGGTAGATATCAAGTACGTACTCAAGATCATCAAAGCTTATCTGGCACCACTCTTCTGTTTTGGATAACCGAAAAAAGGGAATCGCCAGTCGAATCTTTATCCCGGGTTAACTGTCGTAGAACGCTGGTAATCGCGTCTCCTTGATGATAGTCCAGCAGGCGGCTGGAGACCCGCTGACGGATCTGTAACCATGAAAAACGGAACTTGAGTCGAGCAAATTCGTCGTTTTCAAGGGACTCTTGGACGTTATTTCGAAGCAACAATTTATCGCGTGAAAGGTCAGCCTCCAGGCTGACAATCCGCCTGAACAAACTGTATAGTTTCCTGTCAATGACAGAAACAACAAAAGCACAAATTGGATTGGCGTCTCCATGATTGATAGTGGCTGCGCCTGGAAATTCGACCAGTCGCGATTGCCATGTAGCATCGATGATCTTCCCCGTAATTCTGGTGTACGGTTGATCAGCAGCGAGAGTTGCTGCTTGAACCTTGGCAAACCATTGTTTGCCTTCAGCCCAGTTCCAAATTTGGATGGAGAGTCGCTGTCGCTGTCAGCTGCGCATTTTGCTCAATGAGGTATACGACAACATCACTCAGACGATTGTCAAGAGCAATGTGGAGTGCCGTTCTGGCGGTCCAGTCATGCCCAGAAAGATCACCGACGAGCGCTTTTATGACTGGTAGCCATTGGCGTTGATCAGCTCTGAGCCTCAATCTCAAGCTGGAAAGTAAAGCATGAAGAGGGGTGGAGCCATCGACAGTGAAAGTGACATCTGCGCCGCGTTGACACAGTTTGTGAATGATTTTTGGGGACCGCTTCTTGGACATGACGGCCGTGTGCAGAATGCCAACAGGTAGCTCGACCTTCGTTTGTGACAGCAAGAACTCCACAGCCACTTGACTTCCGATTGCAGCTGCCCACGAAATCGGGGCAAAGGAGCCTGAGGGAAGATCACGCTGATGGTATAAATCGGTTTGGATGGAAGAAGATTTGTTGAGGTCGACACCCAGCTTCAGGAGAACACTGAGAAAGACGGGGTTCGAGGCTATGGCAAAAATCAAGGGAGAACCTAAACCACGGGCAACATCTACGCCCAGGAGATCGGGTTGCTCCTTGACGAGGGTTTCCACCATCCATGGATTTCCGAACCTAAGAGGGACGAATAGAAGCGAGGGGGAAGTGACACTTGACTGCCCGCTGTCCGTTAATGGTTGAATTAGACTTTCAAGCAGGGGATGTCTCTCTGTGTTGTGAAGAAACTCTAAGTGTAGCCGCTGCAGGGCAGCTATGACACGTGAATCCTTCTCCGAAACATGACAAAGGTGCGCCAATGCTTTAACTGCATAGCTCAGCAATGGATGGTGTTTCACCACCGGCAGCAGAAGCAGAACTTGCAGTACAACCCGTAGCTGTACAAACACCTTCAGTTTCATAGCTCTTAACTGCGGAACACAGTATCGTACCTTTTGCATACGTGGAGTCGCATAACACATACGTGATCAAAAGCTCACAAATACGCGCATGCACGTCCGAGATCGATTTCAGGATGTTATTAGGGCGTCGGCTGATCAGGTATTCCTGGTTGCGTAGCGCATCAGCGAATGAATAGCATGAAGTGGGTTAACATATCATACTTTTACACTATAATGAGACAGAGAAACGACGCCAGTTGCCTCGTCATAGGTCACAAGGCTGCTGCACGCGACCACGATATCCATAGGATCCATCACGCCAAGGTCCATATTGAGACTCGACTGTCCAGCCTCAATCATTATTGCTTCGTTGAGTTGATCAAGCGTCAAAGGGGAGAGTGCGCCAGCGAGCCAAAGCAAGCAGCTCTTAGAAATTGGGCCATCATCGTGCCCCCTCTCTTCGATGGAGCGAATAATCCTATCATATGTTCGTATAATCCTTTGGAAGGTCGTCAAGGGCTTTCTGAACACTATCAGGTCTTTTGCACTTCATTATCACATCTAGTTGACACTGAACCCAGCGAAACCTGTATGGGATCGCACGATGATGAATTTTCGAGGAGCAAGTGAAAGCTGCTTTGCTCACATGCCCTTGGCCTTCTTTAACAATGTCTCTAAAATAGCCGTTCTAAGCGTTTCGGATAGGCGTGACAGACGCGACTGAGTCGTCAGCTGCTCAGCAATGTGCGCACATATATCTTCTTGCATTTGTTCGGCGCTGTCCTTCAGCGACACGATGGGGAGATGACGGAAGGCTGTTGTGATGTTGGGCTCGGTTCGACCGGTAACGAAGAGTCGTAGTCGAGCGTCTTCAGGGAGTTTGACAAGATGTCCTACGAGGTCGCCGTGGTCCTTACATTCATCTAAGGCGTCGATCACGAGGACTGGTCGGTCGTCGACTAGCTTAGACGCTTCAACGAGAAGCTTTCGTAGAAACCCCAGATCTGTGGGACAACAATCTCCGTTACGTTGTTGCTGTCGTAGCTCGCGCAGGGAAACTAAATCCACTTCTGCATTCGAATCTTGCTGCTTTTGCCCGCGTATCTTGGTGACCAGTCATCTTTAGATTGCCGGAGGAGCTGAACAAGCAAAGATCGCAACACTGCAGCTGCGATTCTCGTATTGTCATCTCCGAAATTGCAATAGAAGTAGGCGAGCGTCTGGGGCTCGGCTTGCCCACCGTCCTGAATTTCGTCGATGACAGCGGAACTGATTATTCAGAAGTCAATTAAGGCTCTCCAAACCTGTTGAAACTTACGCAAGGATAGTCTTTCCACCCAGCTGTTTCGAACGTCATTAACCCGCAATTAATGGCGAATGGAATAAAACCAACGTTGACCATTCAGCCATAGGAATGCGCATTCGGAATTATTCCAGATCTTATACTGCTTGGCCTGGAAAATCCAACGACAGGTCGCGGCGTTGCGCTCCCGACGGGAGATATCGTGCTTTTCAACACAAGGCACTGGGTTCATCCATTGAAGGAGCTTTTGACGTTCCGCAGCTACACAGATTTGAATAGGGCGAGAAGGTAACTGGTACTTATCGTCCCACCTTTCTCCTGCGCCTCTTGCGCTACTTTTAATTCTGGAGTTCTCGACCAACTTCCTGGACTCCTAGATCGACTTTCTTGAGGCCTCGATCGACTTCATTGAGTGTGATCCTTACGCTACATTAGTATTGGCGATCATCACAAGTGAGTCAGCTCACCATGTATCTATCGCTAGAATTTTTGTGATCTCGCCGCAGTATAGCTTCAATGTATTGACGATTGCTGCTGCTGCCTTTTCCTTAAAGGGCCACGCCATTCTGGTTGTCGTCTTCATTTTCCTGCTTTTGTGTTCACTTGGCAGAATGTTCTTCAGTTCCATTTGTAATTTCGCGACTGGTCCATTGTTGGCCATCAGATTTGAAAGTGCAAGACGGAGATTGTCTGGAAGAGAGCCATCTTTCTCGATCTCCATAACAGTAGTCAGGACGCCGCCAATTGAGCTGAACTCATTAAGCAGGTTCCGAGAAGTCGAGTCGGCGTTGCGGACGGAAGCGACATATCCTAACAAAAGAGCTGAAGCTTGCGCTATCATCTGAACGAGCTGAAGAATGGTGAGACTGCTAGTCATGGGATCCATCTTGACAGTGTGAAATGAAACCCAAGCAGCACCGTGACGCTATTTAAATCAAGGAAAGGTACCCAGTAGCCCAATAGTCCATTTGCAACACTGAGACCTTGTAGTGACCCATCGATAATGATCGATAAGAAGTACACGAGGCACTAGATGATCGTGGTGAGTATGGATCATCAACATGAGGCTAGCAAGCGCTCTACGTACAACGTGACGTGTCGGCGTTGCGGACAGAAGCAACATATCTTAACAAAATAGTTGAAACTTGCGCTATCGTTGAAACAAGCTGAAAAACGGCCAGACAGCTGAAAATTCCATCATCAATCCGGAGTCTGGGTAATGAAAAAACGTAACCCTAGGCCCTTGCAGCACCATAACTCTATTTACATCAAGGAAGGGCGTCCATAAATCAATTTGCAACCGTGATATAGAAGGAAGGAAGGTCTACCTACGGGAGAGTAATTTGCAACGTGAGACCATGCAGCGACCCATCGATAGTCGATAAGAACTGATATGAAGACGCATGAGGAACCTGGGAGCTTTTTGGTAAGCAGTCGGCGAGGGAGCTTGAACAGAAAAGTTGCGCGAAAGTTCAGAAGCAAGGTTAACGTCCTGGCAGTTTGTTCTGTCCTGAAGTTACTGGCACGAGACATGATATTAATCAATGAAAAGGGCCAGCTTGGAAGGGCATCATCAACATAAGGTCAACACCCATGCCCAATCCGTTCTGTCGCAAGCTCGGGCCACGTAGACTCATGTTGTAACACGTTGAGCCTTTTAGAGAGGCGATGAATCGTTCCGGCGAAGTAGATATGATCTCATCCCCAGTTACCGTGGCCATTGACCGTTTAGGTTCAAGATTCACGTTTCAAGTGTGCGAGTTGACAAAGTCCAAAAGGCGCCCTTCATGTGGTAGAATAGTAGACGTGGGACTAAAACTTTATGCTGTATAAAATATGATATTGCGCCGGTCGAGTTGGCACTGCATGCCAGGAGATGGAACGAAACCCCACCGCTCGTGGAGTGTAGCCGGATCTACGTTCATGACAAGGACGATTCAATCCACGCGCGAAGCTAGCACGTAAAGCCTTTTACCCCCGGACCACAGTACTTCGGCAATGTCCGGCATACCGTCACTACTCATTGATTTTGAAGCTGCTAGCGGTTTCATCTTCAAATCTTCGATAAATCATGAGTTCTTCCCATAAGGTGCAGTTTTTTGTCCACTAGCATGGTCACTGCCTTGAATCGCTCAGTACGTAGTCTTCCCACTTATATAAAACTGTCCTGAAGGCCTGCAGGAGTGAATGTATGCGAAGCACGTGCGTGCATTGTAGATCCTGTCTACCAATATGGATTTAGTGCGTATATATTTCAAGGCATGGCCAAGACCAATTCCTTCAATTTCTCGAAGTTGGGTGTGCCGTATCCAGTGACTACAGATGTGATCAGCATGTAGACATATCATAAATTCGTTTGCCTTCATGAACCTACCAGGATCCCATCCAACAGTGGCCTGCACACAGGTATCACATTAGTAATGTGACTTGAAACGTACAGACATAACCTACATTGAAGCCCAGAGTTCCACATCCTGGGTTGTTCCCATCAGTGATGTCGTTTAATGCTGTGTAGCCAGTGGAATATAAGAATGGGTTCAGAAAACCAAGAGGAGTCTTTTGAGCATTGATGCGTGCATCATTCAGCATGGATACAAATGCGGCAAATGTGGGCGCAGCACAGGATGTACCACCGGCTGGACTCCTCTGGCCTCGAAATGGTGGAGAAGTATTCTGATTGTGCTGCCACGTCAGGAAATGCCTAGAAATATAGTTGCCATAAGATATTTGCAAGTTGAAGAGTCAACGTACACGTCCGGTGCTGGAGATGGTGGGTCAATTGTGCATAGCGCGTTCACCAGTTTGTGGTGACTTACGGGTTGTAGAGACCTTCGTAGGTGCCGGGAGCGAGCATCGCCAAGTACACAGAGACAGCAGCCTCCTGGTACGCAGGACGAGCAAACTTATACATAATGGATGGGTCAGAAGGTTTTTTATGTGAGGCAGAGATTACTTACATAGTTGCTGAATCCACCGCTGGAGAAGGATGCGGCAGTCTCTGGGATGTTGACAGTACCACCAACAGAAGTCACGCTTTTGGTCGAAAAATTGGCTGTTGTGCTCCTCGGTTATAGAGATCACTCACTATGGACAGGAAGCGGGGAACGTCGGCAGGAATTGTGTAACGTTACGCCCGTCATTGGATTTACATATCTGCGTGGCAGGATTGCTATTCGAATCACCAACACCATTATCACCAGAGGAGAACAACAAAGAGACTCCGCGAGCACCGAGAGCCGCCATACCAGCGCAAACACGGATCGCGTAGGTATACGGGACAGTCTGTTCATCATCACCATAACTGGTAGAGATCGTTTGAGGAATATCATCCTGTGAAAGTACGTGCTCAAGCCACTGAAGATTGTAGTCATCAATACATTAAACTGCAATCGTGATGGCTTGAGCGCACGTATGTGTATGGCTCGTTTGTATTATTCGGCGTTAGCAAGTCGGGGATGTAAGGGGGCTCGCCACCAGTTGTGTAGAACGTTCCGGGAGTGGGCCATGTGAGTCCGAAACCAAACTGAGTGTCAAGGTCGGCTTCATCTCCTGCCGCATCATAACTCTGGTTGTCTTTTCCGCCTGTGAAGCAAATGAATAATATTACTATGGACGGTGCCCGGATTGCAACCCACCGTTGATGGAAACCAAAGTGTACTTTGAACCGTAAGCAGAAGGATTTTGGTCTTGGTAGAATTGTTGAAGGTCCTTATTATTGGCATACTGGCCAATAAAACCAGTGATACCCAGTTTGTTGCAGTTTGTGGCAGTTGTTTTATACCTCTCTGCATTATACAACTGCCTCAAACAAGAAAGGGTGATCGTGTAGTTGCAGCTCGCATCAACGGGATTGCCCGCAGGCCCTGTGATCGTTCCGCCCGGCGGGCTCGAGACCACAGGCTGCGCCTGGTTAGCCCAGTGCATCGTGCTCTTGAACGCCTTGAAACGAGCGAACATGGTCGTAGGCTGAATAAAATCAACGTGATGGTGCAAGATGTCAGGGAGACTGTAGCTCGTGGTCCGGACGATACTCTCGCCGGTCTCAGCGTGCTTGTAAACATGATAAGTCTAGACATCGACTGGTTAATGAACCGTAATCTCCGAAGGCGACATCGCCTTGCTCACAGTATCCAGCATCTCTTCTGCGAGACCGACTGGGACACGAATAGTAACCCAATCGCGTGCAGATGAACGGATAACATCTTCTTCTGTCAGACCGTGTAAGGCAAGCCATTCGCCGACGACGTCCAGAGTCTCAGGGTAGGGAGTCATGAGTGCTTCTGTCTCTTGCTTCGACAAGTATGCCCCATAACGTGCGTGACTTGGATCGCTTATCTCCCAGAGGTGCTGCTCAAGTTCCGGGAACTTGGGCTGAGGGAGAGCGATCTTGAGCTCGAGTATGTAGTGCTTTTGTGCGGGAGCATGCTTGTACCACCCACTGGGTGGACCATGGATATTCTCTTTCACCTTTTGATGACAGCCCTTAAAGGGTACAGTGCTAGCGAGAGCAACCGCGAAGGGCAGCAGAAGCAGAGCGACGAGCTTCATCGTCAGTGCACAACACACCGTCAGGGTGGCACTCGAAAGGATTTCTCTATTTCATGCGCATTTGTAGTACTTACACATAATGAGATCGGCATTGACCAAGCCATGGAATACGTATTCAACGGTTCGATTGACGTGGCTGGCCGCCTTCCAATGTCCCACTGAGCTGGCAGACGGACCGACGGTTCTTCGTTATACGGTAACGTTGTCGATGGACCTGAAAACATCGTGTTTGGCCAATTAATTTAATTCCACCGTAACAAGCCCGGCTCGATTATCCGACACAGCAGCATGCGCGTCACCGCTGTAATGGCATCAGGAAATCGCCGAGGCGATGGTTTCCCTAGTTGTAGTTGGTAAGTAAGATCGATAAAAGATTATATGCGAAGACAAAGGTACTAGACAAAGTGATATAGAACTTACACGTCTTTGTTCGTTATGAATCTTGTTTTATATCACACCGCAGCAGCCAAAAGATAACTCGATGTCTCTTTGTCACTTCCCTGCTTGCATCTGCGACGTCCAAAGGACCATACCATGATCATCGATCAGGGAGTACAATATTAAAAAGACAAAGCGAGCTCGATTCACACATCGGGGTTATCAATGTTTAGGAGAGGTTTTTATGTGGTACTGAATGTTAAGATAAATTTAAAATTTAAACTAACATAAAGAGGGACATATAACTTTAAATGTTGGCGGTGTTTTGTGCGGAATGCAAAATATCAAGTATCTGCAACCATGTTCCCACCGACTATACGTCAATGACAATTAGAAATATAATCATATTTTATGTGTGTGCTTAAATTTGAAGTTTAACTCTCGTGTAATACGACGAACAAAACTAGTACACTGCTAATCGGGATAAACCTGAACCTAGCATGCGTAATCATACCTTTATGGGATCTGTGCCATCAGCAACTACCGGTTTTGGATACAAGATTCCCACAGCGACACAACTAGCACAGCCCCACAGTGGTACAGCGCACAGAGCGCACAGAGTGACAGTGCGGCACAGTCTCGCACAGTGCACAGGGTCAGGCGATAAAATGTGATGTAAATTATAGATTAATATCAATATCTTGCTGGTCTTCATCAAAACACGAGATCTCGGAGAATGCATTTCACAGCGTGACAACTTATATTCATTTAATAAAGTACTTCAACAGATAGCTAAAATATAAAATGTGCAATGCGTATATGTATTGACAATCATGTACACAGTACAAGGCTATGGTCACAATGCAACATCCAACAGACAGATATTCTAATCAGCTGTACTCATCAGCGACTGCATACCGATTTTAAGAACGAATTCGCTTACAGACTTGATGGTGGATTTGGACGAGGAGACCAAAGGGACCGCTCTGAGCAGACAAACCCGCACCTCACCACGAGAGCGCGTGTGCGCCCTACATTAGCTTCCGCATCTCCAAAATTTCTCTTTGCCCTCTTCGCTCGAAGTCGTAGGTGGTGTTGCGCATGCGAAATTGATGAAGAAGCCGCTCAGCAAGGTCCTTCTCGAGACGTCGAACTTCGAGATCAGCTCGTGCCATCTCGAGCAGGTAAGATGCTTCCTCTGAAGTCTCCGGCATTGAGTCCATGTAAGCGTCAAATGGTTCATTTGGGTAGCGGCGTATGTACTGTAGATAAAACTGATTCAAGGGCAAGTGTTAGAATCCAGCCCATAACTCACCATATTATACACTTCCGAGGAGTCAGATGTAGCATCTGAGATGTCGGAAGGAGTTACAGAATCTGAGATTTGTTGGCCTCGACATAGCGAATACGGGGATTGAGATGATTGAGATGGTGAGGCATAGCTTGAACGACACTTCGACATTGTAGTTACAGTTTGCGTCGTCCCGGAAATTGCCGGGACAATATTGAATCCAAATGAGTTCAATGACTTACTTCGCACCTTCGATATGCGCTGCCCCTCCTGCAGCAAGCGTTTTAAGAATGAGGGACGCTTTCTGCAACACCTGAATCAGCCTTCTCTCACTGTTACAAGTGGGATGGTAACCTAGTTCGCATCTTAAGACCAGCACAAGCTCCAAGTCCTCAATTTCCTCTCCACAACGACACGGACCCGACCTTTGACCCGGAGTATATGGACCATGGAGTTGATGCAGACACTGGAGCGGAGTATGGGTCTTCAGGCTCGCAGGCAGATTACGGTGAAGAAGTGGAGTTTTATGACGGTGCAGGCAAGACGTGGGGTGTTGGGAAGACTTTCATGGACCAATTCAACGAGGATGAATATGCTGGCAGAGAGGGAGCAAAACCAATACTTTCCTTTCGCTAGCAAACCGGACTGGGAGATGGCATCGTATATTCTTCGGTCCGATCTTAGCATGGCCGAAATCGACGAGTACCTCAATCTTGAATTTGTGAGTTCATCTATCCTCTAAATTTCTTCGTCTAAACTTATGTTCAGACCAAAACACTCCCGTGTCATTTCGCTCTTCGCGAGAACTCCGAGGACGTGTTGAATTGCTCCCAGCTCCCCCTCAATGGAAGTATCAAAAAATCACTACCGAGTTTCCAACGACAAAAACCCTTCAAATATTTTATCGGGACGCAATCGAGTGCTTGCAGTCACTTCTCCAGTCACCCACTGTTGGCTGCCAGCTTTGATTTCATCCCATGCAAGGTTTACGAGTCTGCCGAACGTGCGGTTCGAGTTTATCATGGTTTCATGACAGGCGATCATGCTTGGAACCTTCAGGTAAGGTCTCGTGTCTTGATTCCTCGTTCTGTATAACTAACAAGACCACAGAAAGACCTACCTGAAGGTGCATCCCTCCTTGGTGTAGTCCTCTCCTCGGACAAGACCAAGGTCAGCAACATCGCTGGCAACCGTTACACGCATCCACTTCTTGTTAGTCTCGCCAATATTGATCCTGGAGTGCGTGCCAAAGGCTCCTTACATGCAGTATATCCCACTTGCTTTGCTTCCTGTTGCAAAGTTCTTGCACAGGAACAAGCGCATGCATGGGGTTCTCGCAGACCGTGTTTACTTCACCAATGTATCGACCTCGTTGTTGAGCCATTGAAGCAGGCTGCCCGTCTTGGCGTTATGATGAGTGATCCACGGGGTTTTAGCAGGTATTGCTTCACCCCCTCGTTGCTTATGTCGCAGATACTCCGGAGGAACTTGTAATTGCATGCGCCACTATGAACTCATCGCCTGTCACTATGGCTACCCGTGAAGACTTTGGAGACCCAATCCGACACCCTCCTCGTGATGGATCATCAACCCCTTGCCAACATTGCAGCGATTATAACATCTATCTCACCTTCCGATCTCATCCTGTTCTTCGAGGCATGCAAACGCTACAATCTAAACGGTGTTGACTTGCCATTCTGGAGGAATTGGCTTACCGCAAATCCCTTCCTCCTTCCTCACTCCAGAACTACTTCACCATCTCCATAAAATGTTCTGGGACCATGATCGTCTCTGGTGCACAACAGTGGTTGGCTCGCAGGAAATTGATTTTCGTTTGCGCTCCTCCAGGTGTGCACTGGTTACCGTGCATTCAAGGAGGGAATCTCCGCTTTGAAGCAAGCCACCGGGCGAGACCATCGCAACGTTCAACCGTATATCGTTGGCGTGATTGCTGGTGCTGCCCCTGCCGACTTCATATCTGCTATTCGGGCCCTCATGGAGTTTAGATACCTCGCTCAAGCCCCGCATTTCACCGACATCTTCACAGCATTCAGTACAACCGAACCCTCTTGAAGACCTCCGTCTTAACCAATAGTCGGATGTACTCCGAACACCGCTTCACTATACCCGACATGCAGGTGACCATGAAACCCACAACCACGACAGCCGCTGAGACGCAACTTCTCTGGATGGCCGAATCTGGATTCACTCAGTCTCGGGTTGCCATCATGACGAAAATGGAGGATACTCTTCTATCGCACGAAGAGCTCCTCATTCTTATGATCTTGGTCAAAGAAGAGAAATATGCCTCCCCCGCAGCAAACTCGTTACTTGGAATCAGACACGTGAAGAGGGATCGGTGGCGGACTTACAGTGAGTTCGCACCTGAATGGCACTCCGACAAGTTATTTGGGCCAGTAATAGCAATGGGGCATGAGTGGATTGATATTGAGTCTGTCGATTATTTTGTGTGGGTGAAGTCTGGGGAATCAGCGGATTGACTTGGCTGCTCTCCCACGGCGCACGGCGTGAGTCTAATGTTGCAATGATAAGAATATTTATGCTGACAAGTAGTATCTTTGCAGACACTTTTTTCCGAATATTGACATGGACAATGTGACTGACGCATTGAACCATGGCTTGGATCTCGTGAAGCCACAATGAGCAGCACCTTGACTTAATCGAACCCAGCGTAAATCATAGGCATCTCCTCACTCCCAGCGCACTTACATTCAATTGGGAGCTTGACAGTTCCTCCATGTCAGTTGCCGTTTATGAAACTGCCCACGCCCGCTACTGCGATTGGTACCCGTCGCCAATTCTCTGGTACGAAACGTCGTCGTGTGGACAATCCTACCACAGATGAGAATACCAGGCCTCGATCAGGAGGGCATTATCCTCTGGACATGTCCAGGCGGACAACCAAGAGAACGCCAAATCTTCAATCAGCTCTGCATACGTCTCCGACACAAGTGACGAGACTGTTTCCTCCTCGGAACTAGCAACACCTGGAACTGAGTCTTCCTCTGGACTGAGTAGTGATGATTCAAATGTCTAGGTCTTGGTGAGGGGGATGGAACTTGGCTCCCTGTAAGACGTATATCTTTCACTGCTCACTACACTTCATCATGACCATTTTGTTCTATTTCTTGTTGTACCTAGTACCCCCCAGCGCCATTTTCCGCACTACCGCGCGGAGTTCAAATAAGTAGTACTTACTAGTACATGGAATGTTATACTTCTTGTCTTCGGGTTCATGTTCAACGTTTGATGGCAGGCAAACGCAAGACCATAGTACCTGATCTTGGTGAGTACACTGATTTCTATATAACAAAACTGATATGTAGCACTGCAGATGACCTCCGTCGCTCTAAGCGAAGTAACATGGGTCAAGGTGGACGCCTCACCCAACTTCAAAAGCTCGAGTCCTCACAGATGAATAGACAACGTCCAGTGAAGAAAAAACCCCGCTCAGGAGATGATAGACAGCCAACCAGTAATGTCATGGCTGCCGTAGGCACCTATACGCAAACCAGGGCAAGACCAATCAAGGCGACTAAGACATCAAGGCAATGAGAAGACTGAACGACATCTTTCAAGCTCCAACTTACCACAGCGTGTTGCTGAGGACAAGCCCACTTCGCATCCTCGTAGTCCCGACTCAAGGTTTGGCTTTGTCCCACCTCCACCTGCGACCCTCCGAATGCCATTTCATCCGTGGCTCTCTCTAGGTTCAACAGTACACCATCAGGATCCTCCCAGCCTAACACCCCAAACGCACCTCACTGGCGCCCATTCGCGAAACACGACAATCTGCGTCATCATTCCAAGTCAGATACTAGCCATGCCCTACCAGCATCCAAACCTGTCCCTCTTGAACACACCCCCGCTGGTGCTCATTCACAGAAACGCAACGATCCACGTCCTCACTGTAATGCTAGTCGTAAACCACCGGTGTCCAAACACAGTCCCTCGACACCACCGTCACCAGTGACAGCAATCCGCCCACTGACCTGGAATCCGAATTACACTCGTCCATCACGGATGAATATTTCAGATGCCGAGGCTCCTCTACATGGCGATGAGGGCTACGACTCGGGACAGATCACGATGTGGATGCTAACAATTCTGATCTGGACAACTCGGATGCTAGAACTAATGATGTGCAGGGGGAACCATGGCAATGATGGTGATAGTGGGGAGGCGGACCAGATGTTGATGTTGATAATCTGGGTGTAGACCAGGATGATGTGACAGTTTTGTTGACGACCCCCACCAGGATCATGACACCCCGAAAGATAGCAACGATGGTAAGAGATACCCATGCATGTGTCCATCATGCTACTGAACTTGCCCACTTGCCTTATGCAGATGAATTCACTCGTGCACGCTCACGAGTCGCCGACAGCTCACACAATGCCCGAGATGTCCTCCAAGACCATCGCGCAAAGAACTGTCGCCCCTCGCATGCCTGACCTGGATGAGCTCGAGACTTTGCGTCGTCGCGCTACTACTCAAGATTCAGCTCAATCTTCTTCTGAAGAGGAGGTGGGGGGTAGTACCACGCAAGAGAACGCGGATGATCAAAGCAACTGCGCAGAACATTCGCTTCTATCCTCCTTCTTGGAAGGATTTACTAGAGGCCACAAAGAAGAAATCACGCCTAGGCTTGCTCACTAGCACAGCGTCAAAGCGCAGTGATTTTCTCAAAACCAAGGGTATTGAATATCTCTTAGAAACACTCGAAGACTTTGGATCCCAGGGTGTTGGTGTTTGACGGACGGATACTGGGATGAATATAAATCTGATATGGCAGTCCTGTATTTGTGTTCTTACTCTGGTCGGATCCACGCTAACAATTATTTTAGCTATGGGACGATCGCGCTACTATGCGTTCCGAAATGAAAAAGGCTGCGCGTCCGATTGTTCTGGGCACATTACGAAATTCTTCCACCCGATGTTGACGACGAGAAGACGACTATGAGCGGGAGGTGCGTGACAACGTCAAAACATTGTTGCAGAATGGTGCTTTCCTACGGGATGGAGTAGATGCACAGGCAGGTTAATGAGAAATAGCCCCGCACTTACTGACTCACGCGGTGTGTATTAGGGCAGGACCAATAATCTTGCAAACGAGGCCCTGGGCAGCTTTTGTATGTCCTATTTTTACAAAGGGTGAGAACGCGCTCCGCGAAGTCATTTCCAGACTTGTTCGCCGATGCTGTCCCCGAAGGTGCCGTTGCACTTGCAGCGACTGCGGTATGTGATCTCAGGCTCGGATAATCGTCTTCGCTCATTCATCTCTAACTAGCTTGCTGCCGCTATCGACGAGTACAAGACCGGTACTTACAAGCAAATGAAATTCGTCGCCGATTTATATCAACCCATCTACGACAGCGTCATTCAGCTCTACCATGATGTGCAGAAGGACCACTATCATGCAAAGAAATGCCGGGCCGCCAGAAAGAAATGGGCTCGTACTGCAGGGTATTGTGAAGCTTTTTTTATCATTTGTATCATTTTCTGACGGCTATGCAGAATCCTGACTCGCAATGATCCAAACAGGCGCCATGACTGGGGCTTGAAACTCCAACTGGACTGATCGTGTTTTTAGCATTTTTGTAGGATACCTGATTGTAGTATGACGCAATGACATCATGATTTGTTTGGTTTCAATTACTGTGCACTTTCTGTAGTGATGCTGTGAGCATTCTGCAGTATTCCTGTCTGGCCTACCCAATGCTCTGTATTGTTTTGCTCAGTGTAGCTAACACTCTGTACCGCTCTGTGCAGCTCTGTACAGTATCATACATTACACTGTACGACTCTGTACAGAGCTGCACAGAGAGAACCCTCTCTGTGGGCTCTGTGGCTCTGTCCAGCACTGTCCAGGGTTGTACAGAGGACCCTGGGTTTGCTGATGGGAGGCGAGTGCTACAACGAGACGGAGGCCAATGCTACAAATACAGTGGACGGTGAAAGGTGCAAGTCAACCTAGATGAGTCGTGAGATGGAGGTGAGTGATCAGGCGAGTCGCGAAACGGAAGAGTCGGTCAGTCCATTTTTTCTTTCTCTTTCCCTTTCCTTCCCTTGTACTTTTGTCCGAACGCTATCCTCACAGAAAGCACGGCCTGATTATCATCATAAGACACGTCAAGGCCTCGACGCATGGATTCATACCCCTCGAACAATCGTGATGAAGGAGATCCACAAGAACCTGTACTTAGGTGTTAAGATATAGCTTGTCATAGATCTTCCACAGATGATTTTGAGAATACCTGAAGGCCATGAGCAACTGCCAATTCATTCAAAGCTGTTCTGGACAATTTTTCATAGCCCCCAAAAAATTATCAACAGTAACAACACGCTTGGGTAGCTAAACAGGATCCCACTTGGGTAGCTGAAACTTTTTCTCAGTCTGTAACAATAGAAGACGATGGAGAGCAAAGATTCTCTATAAACAGTCATTCAGACATGTGTGAATGATTAGCACTAATACACATACGTTCAAGCTGAAAATTCCAACTATGACCACCAGAAAGTCGACCGACATCTGTTTCTGAAAGGCCTTTGGAGCCAAGACCCGTCAATGTTGAACTTCGCATTCACAGATGTGAGCCAACCACGACCAAGCTTGACATCGCATCCGCTCAGATAGATGGGTTGAAGGGTCGAAAGGTCTGTCAGTAACAGGCTATACTGTCAGATTGAAGCATCAATAAGTCTGGTAAGACATAGGCTGTGATGCACAATGTGTCTAGTTCCTTGATGTCTGTAGCTTGATGCTTCATGAAGCATCAAGCTACAGACGTCAGGAACAATACCCATTTTGAACAGGTACACTCTTGCTGGCTTCTTGACGTCTGTAGCTTGATGCTTCATGAAGCATCAAGCTACAGACATCAGGAACAATGCCCATTTTTGGGCGAAACATGGCATCATGGGAAAGTGTGGGGCTTCAGCGCAGAGATGCAGAGAAGCCAGCAAGGGCATACCTGTTCAAAATGGGCATTGATATCTGTAGTTTGATGCTTCATGAAGCATCAAACTACAGACGTCAGGAACAATGCCCATTTTGAACAGGTATGCCCTTGCTGGCTTCTCTGCATCTCTGCGCTGAAGCTCCACCCCTTCCCATGATGCCTTGTTTCGCCCATTTTGGGCAGGTACACCTTCCTGGCTTCTTTGCCACATTTCTCGCTGAAGCTTCACACTCTCCTATGATGCTTTGTTTCACCCATTTTGAGCAGGTATGTCCTTCCCGGCTGTCTATGTTGAAGCATCACACTTTCCCACGATGCTTCAGATCTTTTGTTTCACTCATTTTGAACAGGTACGCCTTCCCGGCTTCTTTGCATCTCTGTGCTGAAATATCATGCTTTCCCACGACACTTCAGATTTCTTGTTTCACCCATTTTGAGCAGGTACGCCCCTTCCCAGATCTTTTGTTTCACCCTAATTAGCAGGTACATCCCTTCCTGGGTTCCGTCCTCGGCTTTTTCAGGCTTATTGCCTCCATCCCCAACCTTTCTCCCCCTTCTCGACAGTTCTCGACCCGTCTAGCTACCAGTGTAATTTTTCTCACCAAGTCCATCACTGTGACGCCGAATGAGAATCACGATTTGCCATTCCTACTTGAAATACCACTAAGTCCCATCCATAGTATGTACAAACGTGTATACAGCGCTGTGCGCATGAAATGTTGTCAAGTCCAGCACATATATACAAGTCCAGCACTGTGCACATGATAGACAATGAACTTACTTGTGCACATTAAATTTTCACTAAGTCAGATGCTGAAAATACTCTCATATCCGGAGAATTATAGGCAAGGAATCAATGTGTATTAATGAGTCGATTGTGCCCCAAAGGGGTATTACAATACGTGCAGTATGTATGGACTGGTATAATGAAAGCATTGCTACAAAATATTGATGGGCAGGCAACTCAGGCGCCGGATTTGCGTTTCCTGTCATAAAATTAGCACTGTCCAAGTCTAACGGCAACAGGAAAAGCACATACTTCTTTTGAGTGGCATTCTCCACCTTGCCTGTCCTAAGTCTCTTCGCACTCTCACCTATCATGTTCGCTTGTGCCATGCGTGTTGACTCCTGACAAACCCGACCTGTCTTCCGGAGAGGGATATTGACTGAGGGGGATGGGTTAGTAGAAGATTGGGTAGGCCGCGGATGGGTAAGTGCTGCTGGGGTAGGCGCTGCTGGACTAAGTGCTGCTGGGGGGGGTAGGTGCTGTTGGGGTAGGTGCTACTGGGGTAGGTGCTGCTGGGGTAGGCACTGCTGGGGTAGGCGCTTGTGAGGTAGGCGCTTGTGAGGTAGGCACTGCTGGGGTAGGCGCTACTGAGATAGGCACTTCTGAGGTAGGCGCTGCTGTGGTAGGCGCTGCTGCAGTAAGTACATTGTGAGGGACTGGAACTTCCCGTGTGATGCCAGGAGTGGTGAAAGAACAGCCGTCAAAGTTGAACGTTGGCACTGTCAAAGGCGCAGTGGGAGATGTCATCAGGGTCGAATTACTCATTGTATTCCAAAATTTGAAGTCCTTCCTCCACAATGTGATGGGAGTATCAGGCAAAGGAGGTGCCAAAGGAGGTACCGATGACGTCGACAGAAATGCAGGGAGCACGTAGTCCAATGCATGCTTCTTCCTGTCATCCTCGGCTGTACATTTCATTAGTCAATAAGCCTTTAAAAGAAAGAAACATACATACTAAAAACTGTCCCAAGATAGCTTAGGTATGGGTTGAGATGCTTGTCCGTGAAATTCGAAGTTGCCTGCTTCCACGCAAGGCCAGCTTGATTCACACCTGTGTGGTAGCTAAAAACAATTAGCATTAAGAACGGGGAATGTGCATATCAGAACCTACATACCTCGATACATTAAGCATGCCCCCGAGGCGAGGATCAGGGCCTCCACCAATGACTGTCCACTCCCAACCTGTTAGCTATCTCACCGCATCAAAAAATTGTGATATTGGGTTAATACACTCCTCTAGCGCCCTGATTAATATGATAGTGTGAGCAAGACATAGAGACAGACAAATTTCACTCACTTTGCATACTGCGCGTTGGTAGGTGTTCTGGTTGCCACAGCTTCGGAGAGGATGGTAGAAGCCTTGGCTTCACGTTCTTTGGCAGCCTTTGCCTTGCATAATAACTGAATTTCTAACGGCGCGGCCTCATATGCTGCTTTCGTCGACTCCCTGACTGCCATCAATTTCTCGTTCTTAGTTACGAGCAAGCCACACTCGATTTTCTCCTTGATCTCCGACCATACAGTAGTGTCATAGTTCATTTTGGAAAATATTTCCACCTCAGTATGAACCCGAGTTCCTTTTGCCTTGTTACCGATCATCTTGGTAATCGATTTCGTCATTGCATTGAGTTGTGACCGACCACTTTTGTGAGATCTATAATTGAACCAATTTTTGAGTTGCTGTTTTTGAAATGAGCGTTTCTTTGAGTCAAACATCAAATTCATCGTTATTAACCTTCTTGCGTGCCTCAATCGCCTTTCCCAGTTCCATATTCTCAGCCTCGCTAAGCTCCGAAGGTGTCCTGTCTGGGTACAGCACATTGATTTCGGGCCATCGCTGTAAGAACTCTGCGCTAACGTTAGACCAGAAGTTCAATAAAGTACCCTGAAGCTGCTGTTTCAGGAACTCGCTGAATTGAGACTCAAGGTAATTCCTTTGTTCAGTGCTTGTCCAGTGACATCCAACCATCTGTCATAATAATTGTAGCGTGATCAATGACAGCATATTAAAGGCGTGCCGTCACCGCTTACCTTGTCTTTTTTTGGTCTGCGTCCGGTAAGTCGGCTGGAAAGCTTTAAAGTGCCGTAATCGATCTCAGCAACTGAATTGGATGATTTTAGACACAGCTTACTTTTGTTTTGCTTCTGGTGGGCCGGCTGTAAGATTTTCAGGTAGTTCAGGCGCATTTGACCAAACTAAACATACAGTCAAGCCTCAAAATAAGGTTCAGCCATCTATGAGGGACCAATCATGTTCCTTTATTTCTATAGTACATAGTGTCGGAGTTATATTTCATATTGTATACATATATATAAACCATGACAAACCCAAAATGAAAAGCTACCGCTGTCAAGACGTCCTCACCCCCATTTAGCAGTAACACGTATTCATTTTCAAATGACCGATTCAACTTGTACTTGTACGGTCTGCATCCAGCCGTGCACTCCATCCTCGGTGGAACCACTAACCTTCACTATCAACGAGCTTGCTGCCGCTCTGCAACTCATCAGGGATCAGGATGGTGAGTAAATTCTGATTCTTTTCCTTGATAATCAACGTTCCATATTATCTACACAGAAATCTTCCAAGCGCACAACAACTCTGCTGCCGAACTGCCTTCTCCTCACACAGACCGTTGCCCTGCTTGCGTTTTCCGTGCCCACCGCCGCCAATGTTATGTCTGCCATGCTGAAATTTCTGGTGAACCTTGCACAACTGAATCCCAGCCTGGTACCACCGGTGAGTGATTTCCTCTTCGCGAAGTTCTGATCCTGATTTTTCATTTTAGCACGTACACCCACTACACAGAATGATGGATCATCTCCTAGCAGCGCTATTGTAGTAGAATGATTTATCGTTTGACCTATGTGTACCTACGTACCTACTGGGTTTGAGTAATTTACATATAGCCATGTCACTTTCTTGCCAATGCTATCAATGACATTACTGTTGTGATCAATACAACCTGAAAAATGACCAACGTCAACAGTTTGTTCAAAATAATACCGCCGATAATTTGTGATTGGGTTGAATTCAACAGATATACATGATGGGCTATTTAACGAGAGGAATGATGACAACGATGGCAGCATCCACACTGCCGTGGCTGAGAGTATTTGTTGAGTAAATGTGCAGTTTCATGTGTCCCGAAGTGCTCGTGCGCTCAGTAATGAATGCTTTTAGCCTTAAGTCAGACTAAGTATGGAGTAACGGAAGTCACATGCCTGGCCGTACTCTTTTGTCGACCACAAGCACTGTTATAGTGCTACAATACTCAAGTCATTACACTCCTCTCTGGGATTTCTTCCTCGACTTCATGCCACTGAAGTATAAGAACGGGCAACAACGTCACGATGCCTGACTGAAATTCAAGCGCAGGTGTTATGAAAGGTAAGCCTCCCAAGTCTAAATTTCAGTAAGTAGGTATGACAGTATTTCACGTAGGCACAAGCTTGATGAGCGCTTGAAGTCTAGGACTTGTTGGCGCAAGCATCTGGGAGCTACTGTGGTGTGTACACCATATACTATCAAATTTACACTTCACACTGACCAGATAAACCATGAGACAGGCTACACAACATTTTCTAGCACAACTAGATTTGATATGGCTCAACCTTGGCTATCAGCCGGGCCATTCTCAATACACTGTTCTCCAGTCACAGGGCCTTATGCTTGTCCACAAGGTGGATGACGAAGGTTGGCAGGTTGTAAGACCAACTTATGAACGCATAGTAGCAGAGGCGCAAGAACTCCTTTCAGAGGCCAGGGAGGTGCTTGCAGGCGCTCTACATGCAGAAGGTGCATGTACATGCCATCTTATCTCAAGGTCTGCAGCTGCTGTTGATGCAGTGGAGCTGCATTGCGATGTATGGGACGAAGCACTCTCATTAATGGATGATAGCCCAGATACGTACTTTGAAGCTCTCATGTCTGATCAGTTGGTGTGGCAGAGGGCATTAAAATTATAACTAACAGATATTAGTGTCTCTGTAACTACTCCCTTAAGTTCGAAATCACCGTGTCCTTACATTATGTATGTGCTATGTACCATGTGGTCATGTTGCTGTCGTGCAGTGTCTTGTATGTGCTATGTACCATGTGATTGTGTTGCTGTCGTGCAGTGTCTGGAGTCTGGACTCTGTATTGCTTAGCTCTGTAAGCTGTTAAGTATATGTACCACGTGATCGCATTGATGATTGTGCTGTCACGCAGTGTCTATTGCCTCACACCATGGTTAGTAAAAACGACACACATTGGACAAGCTCAAGCAAAATTGGTCTATCAATGATCAGCATCAGCAAGCCCAAATCTGTGTAGCCAAGGAGCGCAGGCTTTACCACAAACATTCTTGCTTCACTCGTACATCTTCTGGCAACATAGCCTCTGAAACGGAATTCTTTGTAGCTAAACATGAGCCATCTTCAGTCACCTCTCACCCACCATCAGGATCCGACATAATCATGGAAGATTTCGGGTTTGATTCACATACGCACACTGACATTGAACTTATAGACTATGATGTGGTGGATCCTGCATATGAGAATTTTTTGAAGGAGTCTACTGTTGTGCCAAAGAAACGTCTCAGGTCAACTGGTGTATGATACATTTTTACCGTATGATATCTTAGTTTAACTTCAACTGTACAGGACCGCACAATGGCTCTCTGGCTTCATGAGCACGAAAACTATCTTCTTGAGTTTATCAGACTCGAAGGACGTGGGGACTACGCATCCAGGGAAACTTGCCAAGGGCACAGCGAATGTGAATCTGAGCCTGGATATCGTTGCCGGGATTGTTTTGGGACAGAGCTCTACTGTCAAGAGTGTATCGTCAACAGGCACCGTGAAAACCCTTTGCACAAGATCGAAGTATGTACCCTATTTTACAATTCTATAGTTGTGTACTAATCACCCTTCAAGTTCTGGAATGGTTCTTTCTTTGAGGATACCACACCCAAGTATCTTGGACTCCGTGTCCAGCTTGGCCACCCGGTTGGTGAGCGATGTTTCAACCATTCATGTGCCTATGATGATGATTTTATCATTCTTGACATTAATGGTATCCACAAACTCGCCTTAGATTTTTGTGCATGTGAGAGTGCACTAAGTCACATTAACCAAATCCTGCAAGCTCGCTGGTATCCTGCGACCAGCATAGATCCTAAATCAGCGGCGACGTTCCATCTTCTAGAGCATTTCCACATGCTTACGTTCGAGTCCAAAGCCTCTGCCTTCGAATATTGGCAAACCCTGGCGCGTCTTACCGATAATACAGGCATCAAGCCATGCAAGGTAAATAGTAGTGTGTCTCGATGCAAGTGTGGTTCGCTAACTATGTATTCCTTAGGATTGTTATGACAGTCTTTTGCGCATGATCAAACAATGGCGTAATCTTAAGCTCTTGAAGTGATTCGGCTGAGGTCATGATCCTGCTGGCATCAATGCAACTGAACAGGGCTCATGTGCTGTGGTTTGTCCTGCATGCCCCCACCCAGGCAAGAACTTACCAGAAGACTGGAAAGCAGCACTTCCGGACAAACGGTATGTGTTAACGTCCTTGCTTGATTAGCTTACTTATGCCTGCAGGTGGCTGTATGCACAATTTCTGGCCATTGATGCAAATTTCCGCTTGGCACGCAAGAATGTTTCCTCAGACAGGATTGACCCTGGTTTGAGTAGAGGATGGGCTTATTTCGTCGATGAGACTGGATCCAAAGGATTCCTGACCAATGTTGGAATGGTACCACAAGAGGTATGTTAGTGTTATTTTTTTCAATACAATTACTCAAATGTCTGGTCTAGAAAAGCACGTGCGCTAGTCACAATGCCGTGAATCTTGCTGAAACGAAGAACTCGCGAGGATTGGCTGCAACTGGAGCTGGGACTGTGGATTGTTCTTGTCACAACTTCAAGCGGCTGTGTGGAGTGGGTGACCTTCAGAAGGGCGAAAAGTATGTATTCAATGATGTGAAATGTTTCCCGCTGATTTATTGAAACAGGTATATCAATATGGATTACCTATTCTTCTCGACCACGCAACATTCTGAAGATATCGTTGTATTGAATGTTTCTTATGATATCACTTGCCAGTGGAGCAAAAACCTATGGGGCCGGATGTCGAAATACCCATCACGCATGCACTTTGCGCATGACGGTAAAATCATGACCTTTCTTGTTCCAAAATTCCACTTGCCCGCCCACATCACTGCATGTCAGATAACATTTTCACACAATTTCACCAAGGGAATGGGGCGCACGTATGGCGAGGCTCCAGAATGAGGTTGGGCCAATATCAATCCCGTGGCCACAAGTACACGAGAGATGGGTCCTGGGGCTCGTCGCGATACACTGGATGATCATTTTGGTGACTACAATTGGAAGAAGGTTACGAACTTCGGTATGTGTTATTTACTTCTGCGCACCCAACCTAAATAACCAAGAAAACCCTTAGGTGTCAGTTTACTGAGTAAAATGAAGACTGCAATTCCCGAACGTGACTGACACCAACAAGATTTTGATGACTTTCACCTTACACTCATGGAAGAACGACCAGGTGAGGTGGCGCAGTGGAAAGAAGTTATTGAGAACTGGGAGGGCAATGCTTCCAACAAAAACCCCATCGAAATAACGACCATCAGTAGGTGTGATTTACGCTGTAGACTATTACGTTTATTGATCATATATAGCCTTGACGCAGGCTGCTATGCGCCTTAGACTCTCTCAACAGGAAGCCGAAGACCTTGAAAAAGGTTTCAACAATTCACTACACATGGAGGTGTCACCCAGCATACTCATTTCATCGGGAATGGACCTTGAGGAACAACAGTAAGTTTGTCGAAGTATTTTAATTAGTACTTTCTAATAAAATGATCTACAGATTTCGCCTGCAGCAAGATTATAACGCTCTGAGTGGCCATCCGACAGACTTGCAGCTGACAAAGCTACAAGAGCGTTCAAATGCACTGCTGCGCAAGATAGAGCAGTGGTGCAATGTCCAACTGCTCTACATGCCCGCCGTCGGCCGCCTGCGAGCATCTGAAATGGCAGAAGCACAGTCAGCTCGCGAGGAGAAGGCCTATGAAATCAAACTTTGGCTACCATCAAAGCTGAAGGAGGCAGCTGAGATATTGTGTGACACAGCTTTGTGAGTATGAATGGGAGTTGCGGCGTGCTCAGGCACATGAAGCTCTTGATGATGTTCACCGGCAACTTCGTCTTCATGCACATCTCTACAAATTCAAGGACACCTACATTCACTGGGCAACGGGCCAATACCAGGGCATCTGCTGTGCTTGGAAAAGTGGAGCAGACCATCAGGACAGCTGCTGCTTGGTATCGCAGGGCCTGGGCGGCAGTCAAGACACTGTCAGCAGTCCTGGACAAACTGAACTGGGAGGTAGAATTGCCCGAGTTGCTGGCGGCTGATGTTCGCGGGATGTCAGAGGGAGATATTAGCCAATCTGAAGGTAACCGCACACTTTTGTGGATCTGGAAGGCTCGTGGGGTGGCTGCAATGGGAGAAGATGGCGAGGCTGTTTTATCAGAAGGTACACATTTGCATTATTTATTGTACAGAGGAGCTGTCCTGACGTACCAGGCAGCATTGCATATTGAATGGTGCAAATCGAGAGTGCGAGCCAATCGTTGGGCTGAAGAAGTCGAGCTCCTGCAAGAGGAGATGCAGCATGTAGCAAGCTTTCTTTCGTGGCACGCAGGGTGGTGGGAGGAGCAGGCAAATCGGAGGACTGTCCTACCCGCACCTGAACAGGAAGGGATCCAGGGATATGCAAAATGCCAGGCCGCTCTTTGAAGGGCTATGCGGGACCGATTCGAGAAGATGTGGAGTGTCGTTCCAGCTCTTCTCCAGTCCACGTTACCTGCAATATCTCTGCCGGTGTCATAGTGCAGCTTTTGTTTTTGCCCTGTTCATAGCGTGTGTTGACTGAATAAGGAAATAATGTTTGTTCTCATTGATCGGGGTAGCACCTTCCTGTGGGAGAAGCATCAACGATGGATGGGACTTGATGCTTCATCAATGAGGGACCATCAACAAGGGACCATCAACAAGGGACCGTCAGCAAGGGACCATCAGACATCTCGGTTGATGCTTCATCAACAAGGGGCAGGAGCCTTGTCTCTAGGTTGATGCTTCATCAATGAGGGGTGGGAGCCTTGTCTCTAGGTTGATGCTTCATGGTAGGAGGGATTAGTAGGGTAGGCAGTGTCTCTAACTTGATGCTTCACTCTTGAAGGTTTAGAGTCGTTTGTGCATCAAGGTTGGTGTCTAATCTGATATTTTTAAGCTTCAATACTACAGGTACAGGTGTCAGTAATTGTACCAACCGTCCACAGTAGGAATGTGCACCAGCCCAAGAGTGGTCTCTACAGCCACTCCATGATGATTGGCGACAGTTCACGGCACATTGCATTGCAATCATGCAGAAAAGACAACGACACAGTCGATTCAAGACTTGTATCATTGACACGAATAACAGCAGGAATGTTGGCGAAAGATCCGAGGACTTTATAAGAAGACATAGACATAAGTAGACAAAGACTAGGAAATCAGATCAATGTGTGCAGACGGAACGAGCGTTCAGAATCGTGTGAAATAAACACCACAAACAGACATGACAAACATGTTTAGGGCCGGAGTTAATGGATTTTTCACCAAAATTTGGTCAATAATGGCGCTCAAGGTGATTTCCTAAAATCTCGGTAAGCTCGGTAAAGGTCGGGTAAAATGTCCTGCTGGTAGTTAACATAAGGCTTGATTTTCTCTGAAGTTAGCTTACTCAACTATACGGCGTACTCCGGCATGATGTCGGAGCTTAAAAGTATATGCCTGCCCTATGACCACGACTGTGTCGTTCTGCACAACTGCAGGGTTCGCAGAACCTCTCCCCAATCCACCACCAGGCCAAGTGGAAGGCCATGAATCCCCCTCCAGTCCCATCCTCCATCCGTGGAAGAGGAAAGTCCAGGCATTCCAAAGGAGATGGAGATACCGCTGAGACAAGCATCAGTTGGCAGGCAGATGTCCAACGTACCAACAAGCTGGTCGATTACCTCGTCAACAATATGGCGGATTGTTGCGTCCTATTCTCTAGCGAGGGGAAGAAACCTAGTGATCCTAACATCGAGGGTCCTCCATTGGGCAAAGACAAGAACGCAATCCATGCGGTGATGTTAAGACCGTACTCAAGTAGTATCGGATCCGAAGGCTTCGGCCTCAGCTCGTGCGCTGTGCCCCTTTCCCGAGTCTTGCCCCTTATTTCAGAGAGCTAAAGTATCGCGTCTAGTGAGACGGATAAGTATCGTAACGGATAAGTCTTGTATTGCAACGGATAAGTATTGCAATGGATCCGTTAAGACTTCCGGATATCGAACGTATAGAGTAACGGCTAATCCGGATCGGATCCGGACTAGAAACTAACGGGTGAGGACTGTCCGAAGACAGAGGCAGATATGTAGACTATAGGAATCTATCCTAAGTCTCGGAGTAGACAAGAGTAGCGTACTCAAGTCCGGATGGATAACGGAGGGACTTAGAGTCCAGACGGAATGAGTGCAATCTAAGATGATATTCGAACTGATCTACTACAGCGCATATACAAAGGTTTATATACTACGGATAGCTAACGGAATGATCAATAAGCAAAGGTGCGAGGCTATGTACGAAAGTATAAGCAAAGTCTAAGTGGAGCGTATTGGTAAGTTGGATGGATCACGAATCATGAACCGGGAATGAAGTACAAGTAAAAGCGGATTCATAAGTGTAGCGGATCAGTAAGCATAGCGGATCAGTAAGCAAAGCGGAAGTAAAGGATAACCGGTATACCGGTGTACAGGAATACCGAAAGGAGATGAACGATAGTTAGAGTTATATGAACAGGAAATGAAATAAGAATCAAAGCGGATCTGTGGACCGGACGATGGATATGTTCATCGGATCTGGATCGGATCTGAGATCCAGATCATCGGATCTGTAACCGGATATATGGTATATGACAGGTGATAGCAGAAGTGATTTTCAGCGGCGATAAAGTATAGGCCAATATGCTGCCAATTGGACCAGGTTCCGTGACTCTGTGTCCAACTGTATAACAGTGTAAGTGATCCTTTGGTTATCAGACTGTAGATGCTAATCATGTTATTTGAAGTCTCCGACTGTGACTACCGCAACGAGTTTGAATTGACCAGTGCAGGGATTGTGCCCCTCAATGCGGGTACTGCGGAAAATCTACATGGTGAGTCTGTTACTCACGTTTATTCAATTCTACTAATAAAATTCACAGCCAAAGTCTGTTACAGTCAAGTACGCCCCTATTCATTTTCTTTTCCTTACATCATTGTATTACATCATGATCACATCTTGCTGTCGCTAGGTGATCTATTCTCGTCTTATCTCTGACTCGTCTTATCTCTGACTCATTTTATCTCATCGTGCCAGCCCTAAAGTCGTTACCATTCACTATATAAACTCGTCCTGTACTATGTAGTTCTTTACTTTAATCTTACTAGGTTTTACCTGGAACTTCCTTCGCTTAAGACCTCCAATCTTAAGTCGTATTGAACGAGATTCAAGTCAAGGACACTCTCCTAGACTTGTCTTAGTGAAACCACTGAACTTCGGTATACGCCGAAGCCTTGAACCGACCTTGGCCGATTACTCTTATCGAGTAGCCATACGTCTGAACTCACCTAGTTCGTAACAAAGTCCAGAAAGAATTCCCCTGGTACGACGATCTCCATAAAATCTGGGGCTCCAACCCATCATTTGCTGCCAAAATGACTTCATCGAAGCCAGGCACCGACCACACGGGTGATCTTTTCGCCCTCACCCGTCCTGCAGGCAGCTCTGTTCATCCCCCCCGCAATGTAACATCCCTTCCACCAGCACTGCCACTTGTAGTGGAACAGGCGTCCCACAATTCAACTACCCTCCCCCTCCCCATCCCCCACCTTTGCAGTTTGCCCCCCATCAATTCGACTTCGCTCCCCCTCACCAAGGTGGTCAACCAGGCAGCGTCACTGGTTCCCACCCACAGTGGAGTTACATCTCTCCCCAAAGCGCCCACCCTGGCGGTGTTCCTGCTCCCCAATTCAACTTCCCCCTCCCACAAAATGCCCAACCAGGGAATGCTTCTGGCTCTCTGCAGCACTGGAATTTTGGCCTCCCTCCCCAAGGTGCTTATACTGGTGGTGTCACTGGCTCTCTCCCCACTCCCCAATTCAACTTTGCCCCCCCTCCACAGAGTGTTCAAGCAACCAGCACTTCTGGCTCTCCACAACGCTGGAATTATGACCTCTCTCCCCAAGGTGGTCAGTCACAAAGCCGCAACACATACTCCCCAGGCCCTCCGACACTTTCAGACTTTCCCGGAATGGATGACGACAACGATAACCCCCTTGCTGATGATATGGAAGACCTGCGTATCGATGAGTCAGTCGGTCGTCATGATGACGACAATGTCTTCAATTTGAACAGCCCACCAAAATCCAAATGGGGCGGCAAGAAATGCCAGCAGCCTCCATCTTATCCAACTCCGTCCCCCCCCCACATTTGTCAAATGGGCAGAACGCACCAAGCTGACGGTCGCAACTTGCATTAGCCATGATCCTGATCACATCATAATGACGTTCCTCTGGGATATCCAGCTTCACAAGTATGGCTTTCCAGCTGTTTGCTTTGTATCCCTCAACCTGCCGGATGCAGGACCAGATCTTGTTCATCGTACTGTGGTGAAGGGAAAGGCCAGAAAGTGCGTTCTTGATGTCATCACAGATACGGTTGTAACCCACATCCCAAGTTAACCGAACAGAACCTGGATCAGATGTCACAAGGTAAATGTGGTTAGTCACCGAAACCCCATTCTTGTGGCCATGCATCACGGTTTTCATTTGCACCGCATTTGCCGTCGCATCAGAAGAAGTTGGTTCAACCGCTGGTTTATGTATATTGGGGGATGTGGGAGGTAGTTTCGCTAAGACAAAAGGTCGTGGTGGTGGTGGTGGCTTGGCTGCTAAGATGAAAGGTCGTGATGGTATCATGAAGGGACTTGCATTGCCTGGCAATATATGGACACGATAATCAGTGTCGTCTTGAGTGCCATGTTTCACTGAGGCACTAGCGTTGTGATGCCTTCTTGAAGTAGTCTCGTTAGGCTGTACATGTCGTGTAGGGCGCCAGCTTTGTGACCCCACTCGCCATGGATGCAGGAAGTGCAGGTGGTTGAGGGAGTGGGGTAGATGTAAAGTTTGGGCTGCCAAAAGTAGGGAAAGTGGAGTCACCAGAACCGATGGTATCAGACCACGAGGATGGCAAGTCAAATGACTCAGATGCAAAAGATGTGATACTGTTGTTGGGAGACTGATGAGCATCAATTAAGTTCAAGGGATCGGGAAGCAAGAAGTGGTCTGGTTGAACATGTTTGGAAGAGGGGGTGGGAGAACTTTCATCCGGTGATGCTATCCCCCACACGACTGTTAAAACAAAGAAGCTGCGAGTGAATTATACATACTTTGAAGCATTTTTGTAGGTAGGTTGACTGCATCCCAGCAGAACCAGCGCTGATGGACAAGCGGTGCAATGTGATTAAGCAAGATGTCATGCATGATTGTCACTGCCGCAACCTCAGGCTCAGGCTCAAGGCGAATAGAAGATAAAGCCGTAGTGGTGATGGTAGGGAATGTGCAGAAGTGTCCCGGTTTCTTCAAGAACTTGAATGCTACGGATAGCTTTATATCAAAGTGATCTTTCTTGAAAAGCACAGATTCAGTAGTAGTTCAAATAATTTAAATGACGGACTTACGATTTCACCTTGCAAATCAAGGTAATCCAGACGATTATGGACAGGATCAAGATCAGCAGGGAATGAGCGAGGTGACATAGATGACATTGGTTTTATATGGAGCAGTGAAAAACAATGAACTGAGTGCAGTCGAGAGGTGAGATGAGAGATGTACAGTGTGATGTAAGTTGGTTACTAGTAGTTTCGTTATCACTCAATTTTGCAAATGTGCACTGTGAATGGTACTTACAGCCGTGGTTCAGCCTGTCAGTGACAGATAGATCAATGCTGACTAGAGGGAGACTACAGTGAGACTGCAGATGTGCAAACTGCAAATCAGAAGTAATGTATGCTATAAAATGGTAGTAAGTTAATCAGAAGTTATGTATGCTATAAAGTGGCATTACCATTTCTCATCTTTTGCGACACAGATGAATCAGAACATTGCAATCTCTTGCACTGTGTTTCTGCAATGTACACTATGAAACAGATCATGATTTCTTGTCTCCTGAGCATTGTGATCTCTTGCAATTCAGTGTGCACAGGTGCAGAATGGACAGAGATATATAATTAAAGCAAGATGCGACATAGCATTGACAGGATGAAAGTTACGAAGTAAGATGCGAGGACACCAAATCTTCAAGCCTTACTGCCTCCTCATTCACAACATCTTCATGATTGTCCAGATCACCCTCGTCATCTCTATCTTCATCAGGTGCCTGTGACTGTCTGGTTTGTAGTGGGGCGTTCACCTGTGTATTGGTCGAGTGTGTAAATGTGTTGGAGCCGCTTGCGATGAATGTTGTTGATGCAGTGGTGCTTGGCATAATATATCTGCAGCTCTGCTACAAGTAAAGATTCTGGGTCGTTAGCAAGGAGTGAATCAATGGCTTCCAAGATAGTCCTGTCCTCGTCCTCGACCCAACTCTGTAGGCGCTTGATCTCAACATTGAGCTGTACAATCTCTTCATGTGATCGCACCAACTTGAAATATTTTGTGGCCATCTCACGATTAGTAGATACAGTCCACGGTTTTGTGAGTATATTGTGCCGTGAGTGCTTCAGAAGTGAGAACTCGCCAAGAGATGCATATCCGACTATTTCAGAGTAGTTGAGCACAGGATGCGGTGGATTCTGTAAGGGTGCGAGTTTGTTGTACTTCTCTAAGGCTGTTCAGGATGGCAGCTGAACGTCGTGTGATGGCCTTCGAGATATACTTTCGCATCTTGTAACCTACATATCCATGAGTACACCACTTATGATGACATCTAGTAAGTACCTGCCAGTGCCAGCAAGATTGGCCTTCAATAGCTCAAAAAGATACCGAACAACTAAACCCTCTAACTCCTCAACCGAGCGAATGAATTGACGTTCCTGAGAATATTGGGCTGCTTGCACATATTTTGAGTCGTGCGGTAGCCACTGCTCTGTAATACCATGACAGAGCTCGAAGTCTTCAACAACGTTCAATTGCAGCTCATATTTGCATATTGCGGATGTGTGTTCAGATTCAAACACCTTAGAACTGTTGCGAGAAGTGACATTGAGGCTGGAGGTGCGAGTAAAATTTGCGGGAGTATACATCAGAAAGGGAACAGTAGTGAGATGGCCATACATTGCTCTAAAACATGTGATGAGAAATAAATTAAAAATTAATAACAGGATGTAAAGACGAACTCCACATAGTAAAGCTTCTCAAGCTGTTCAACATGGGCCACTGCGATTGCATCTGAAGTAGGTTCCATAGCAACCTCACAAAGATAATCATACTCCTCGTTCTGCCAGTTTATAAAGTCCGCATCCATAAGACTATGGAGCCGTTTGAACTCCTCAAGCACGGGCGTGTCTGTCTCAATGATTCGGAGGGCTTGAACATAATTATTGTACAAAAATGTACCTAAAATGGTCAGATATCGTCGACAGTGCTCTAAAAAACTGTACTGAGGTCAGTGTACCTGTCCATGTCCCACTGATCAAAGTGGAGGTCAAGGAACTGCATCCAATGGAAGTATGACACATGTCTAATCAGGACTGCAGTACTATTTGAGCTAGCGAAGATGCATTCACAAGTTTCAAGGTCTTCAAGGCCCAGGCCACTCAGGTATAAAGGGTGATTGCGAAGCTGACAGCGGCGGTCATGAGAAAAGCCATGGAAGGCATTTACAACAACCTGTAGATTTAGCTCAGTTGCCTTGGCTCCGATAGAGCTTGTGGCGATGGTTTTGCGAGATGAGCATGCAATATTGTGTCCAATAGCCTGATCAGCACCGCAGACTTCAAGCAGCCTATTGAGGGTGGCCAGACTATATTTCACACTGTTCATCAACAATTAGAGTGGTAATTAGAGTAGTATAAGCAAGAATCAAAATATGTACAGTTCACCACTGTGTTTCATCTCCGTCACACACTCGATGATCCCATGACAACATGCTACCAGACATATCCCAGTCTGATCAAACACGGTGATTTTGTTGTCATCCACAGCTTTGGCTGCTGTCCAGTTCTCCATACAGGCACTGAGTGTTGTTGAGTGTGTAGATTCACCAGTTCAACGTCAAACATCATCCTTGAATTGATCTACATCAGCCTCAGAAATGAAATATCGGCTGCAAAATAGTCGCAGATCAGCTGATCCTGAACCATCCAATCACTTTGCTGAGAAATTCCCGTCCATCGCATGAAGCCATGCTGGTGACAACATCGGCTCATCAGGCTGCTATTAAATTTATGTAATCATGTTGAACAAAACATATAGGCAAAAAATCATTACCTTATATGTGCATGGGGGACAAGCACCATTCATCTGCCAGTTATCAGAATCTTTGCCCAAGATCCGGTCAACACGACTCTGAACTTCCCACAAGATTTGTAGATAGACATCGAACACATTTGAAAATTGTTCGCAAAGCTGCCGAAAATATGTAGCCTGTATGTAAGTCAGTATGGCATCATAACATAATGCTCTGGAGGACTTACATTATGCAGTGTGCACAAAACCTTCATAATCACTTGAATACTGAATGAGGCTTGACGCCGTCGTATTCTGATGATAAAGTTCAAGGCATTCTATGTGGATAGTGATAGTCGGCTGTAGTGGGGAGCACCCCAAAAGCCCAACATGAAGGAGGGCTGCATTTGCCAGGTTCATTAGGAAGTTGCTGAATGGTGACCAGCACGTGTGAAATCTATGTGTGATTGAGAGTGAGTAAGGGCCATGCATTAAGAGATTGAAACAGCACCCATAATTCCAACAGCATCAACATGGAATATATTAGATGTGACAGTATTGTCATCAACAGTTACCGCCCTATGTTTCCATGCTAAGTAGGCATCCACAAGGGTGAGAATCTGCTCCTTCCAAGCGGTGTTAGCATGCTGGTGATGCTGTCTTTGGGTCTGCACATCAATGCATCTGCGTAATTGAGGGTCCCTAGAGACAAGCATTAGGTACCTGCATAGTCAAATTTTTTTTCAACTCACTGTTCTCGAGAGCACATCTTGAAAAATTCAGATGGAAGGGGGCCGCTCACAGGCTCGTCCTCAACTAAGTCATCTATGTGGCCACTATCATCATAGGTCTCATCTCTGAAGTCCATGGTCTCAAGGGAATCATGCCCAGCTTCCAGCTGAGCTTCAGCAAGTAGCTCCTGCATGTGTTGGGATTTTTCTAATGACAGGTGAGCAAAAGACCAGCGTGAAAGTAATGACCATACCTCACATCTGGTGCTGCTCTTCTTCCCTAAGAAGCCGCTGGCGTCGTATGTCAGTGAGTGATAATTGGGTGGTCTGGATACCCATAGAGCTATTAAGAAGAGTCATGGTGACTCTTGATGATGTTGACATCTGTTTTCTTGGGTGAACCATGGTGGTGTTGAACCAAGGTATGGATGTGCGGCATTTAAAGGCCGATCAACATGAGGTTGGACTAATCATACCGTGAAGGAAAGAGAGCGATGCGGATGTCAATGATACTATCAGAGTTCATTGAAAGAATGAACATCAAAGGGGCAGTGGGATTGGGGCAAGGGACAAGCAGGATAGTGAGCTCATTGTCGAAGATGATGCAGAGGCTGAAAGAGAATGGGAGGAAAGAGAGCCGTGTGGGAATACCAAAGATGCCGGCAATACCATCAGATGTCCATCAAGAACGAACATCGAAGGGACAGTGGGATTGGGGCAAGGGACAAGCAGGATAGTGAGCTTGCTGTCGAGGACAATGCACAGGCTGAAAGAGAATGGCGTGAGCAGCTTTAGAAGGCATAGTGACAGTGTCTTACCTTGTAGGGGAGATACCTGCTGCAAATCTAAGGGTCCATCGAGAACGGACATTGAAGGGACAGTGGGATTGGGGCGAGGGACAAGCAGGATAGTGAGCTCGCTGTCAAGGACAATGCACAGGCTGAAAGAGAATGGCATGAGCAGCTTTAGAAGGCATAGTGACAGTGTCATACCTTGTAGGAGAGATACCTGCTGCAATTCTATGGCAAAGAGGCGTGTTGGAGCGCAGAGGACGTTGGCGGCACAGTCAGAAGCCAATCAGCATGATTAAAACGCAAAGAATGGCAGAATATGGACCACAGACAAGCAGAATAGTGAGCTCATCGTTGCCGACGATGTAGAGGCAGAAAGAGAATGACATGGGAACCATCAAGAAGGTGTGGTGGCAGCATTGTACCTGGCAGGAGATATCTGGGGCAATGACAAATCGATCAGATAAGCCTACCCTATTATCTATTTTCCCACCCTCTTGATTTTTCTGAAAGTCAGTGCTAAGTGCTGCAACTATCGCTGAAGTACTGCAGCGTAGGTTTCCCCCCCTCGTTAGTAACAGACATGTTATACTATATACGTTACTAACAAGTGTGGGAACAGGTGTCACTCAGGTGGAGGGTGATAAATTTCTGAGGTAACCGATTTGAGAAGTGTAAGTCTGACGGGGGAGCGGATACAGAGTCTCATCCTGCTCAGGACTCGGTTGTGATATATTGATATATGACATATGACAGCACACATGTCTTTGAAAGAGGAATATTGTAATGCCCAGTCACCGTGTTCTGCAGTACTGAGTACATACAGAGAATATAAAATACAAGAGACGCATAACAAACGCGCCACCCCCAGAAGCAGCTTCCTCGATTAGTAAGCACTAGTTTGAATTATTCCCGCTAAGGCAGTAGTGGGTTTTGTAGGCGCCATGGCCGTTTGGACCTCAGAGTCATTAATGGTGCTCAAGGTGATTTCCTGAAATCTCGGTAAGCTTGGTAAAGGTCAGTAAAGGTTGGGTAAAATGTCCTGCTGGTAGTTAACATAAGGCTTGATTTTCTCTGAAGTTAGCTTACTCAACTGCGCTGCTGTGGCGGTTGCCTTGATCGAGGAGTAAAGGAACTGGCCACTGCCTGGAACAAGAGCCTAGACCGCTGTCTTGGCGAAACCCTAAGATGTATTTGATTTCTGTTTTCACCTTCAACAATTTATTTTATCTCGGGCACTTTACTTACCAAGTATTTAAACCCCCTACTTGTAACAAAGTCCCCTTAGTTCTTTTCCAATCTACCCTGACTGATATCTGGTTAACATTGCATGAAAGACTCTGTTTGTTACTTCCTGTGCCATTACATCAAGTCACCACTTCGACTAACATCACATATTTTTTAACCTTCCACCAAATCCTTCCTTGACTCACTTTTAACAACACCTTTCCTACTCCTTTGTCACTACCGCTGACTGGTCTGGCCCACCACATCTTCGAACTGTGACGATGACAAAAACTACATCCACGATGACATAATCTTCGCTCGTGCACTCGCGCTAGAGCCAGTTCAGTTTCTACCCCTGCAAGTGAGAAAAATAAACTGGTGAGAGATGACTTTGGACAATTAATTGTTGACCTACTATCTAGCGCCCACGCTCAGAGCAAGGCCCCAAGCTTGACAGCTGGGGCCAATGACTCTGTTGACTCAATCGACTTTCCTTTGACTCCGATGGTGGGTTCTCCAAGGACCGTCATGGATAGTCCAACCGTTCTAAGACCTGTTCGCTCTTACAGCGAGGTGGTCAGAGCAAGTAGCCCTGAAAACGACCCTCGGGTCGCTCAGGAGAGTAAAATGTTGTTGAACCCGGTAGGGGGAGACAGTAATAAAAACTTTGCTGAAAGTGAGGACGAGTGTGTCAGCCATAAGAGAAATCTGTACCTTCCAGCAGTGACAAGAGTGATGACGATCGCCTTGGATAAAGGTCTTCTGCAAAGGAAGAAATCAGGCCAAGACCCCCGATATACTCTCAAGTGAGCAAAGAGAAACCATAGATAGAGCTGAGCAAATGCTCACTCATGAAGAACGGCAGAAGCTAGTGAAACGAAACCATAATGTTAGCATAAGAGAAAGCCCCGCCACGAAGGACACTGACCGTGGCGAAGGCACGTCCAAAGGAAAAGGAGCAGACCCCAGGAACTGGGGCGCAGCTCTATTGGATGATGAGGACATTGACCTCGAGGAGCAGCGCATCACGTTGGAATCCTTCAAAACAGCAAAGGAGTTAGCTAGTGAGACGGAATCCTCCTCTGAAGAGGATGAACCTGCCTACCTTAGGGACAGGGAAACCCAGGCAACCAAAGCCCCAGACATCTTCAAACAGGCCATCTTACAGCAGAAGGCCATTGATGCCGCTGTCACTAGGGCGGAGCAACGACTTCATAAGGAGTATGAGGGGAAAATGAAAAAACTCACCGCCCAGGTAAAGACCCTGCCCGAGCAAACCAAGGGAAGGACCACTGATCCAGTGGGAGCCATGGTGGATAAAGTGGTGAAGCCTACCTCTGATAAAAGGACGCAGAGGGCGACCCCACAAGCCATGGAACCCATGCGGCAGGTGGCGCCTAAATCCTACATCGGCCAAGCCATGGGGTGGCTGAGGAAGGGCAAAGATGACGATGGCGATGGGGAGGATTCGTTCGAGCTCCAGCTCAGGACTCGGAAACATCTAGCTCTTCGAGCTCTAGTAGTGATGACACTAGGAGGAAACGAAAGAAATCTTCTAAGAAAAAGTTGAGGGGCAAGAAAACGACTTTGGAGCCGGTGGCCCCTACCATATACGATGGCGCTGTGGACTCCCGTGCCTTCCATCGATTCATAACAGAGGGGACAGGCATACATGAAAAGATGGACGAGTCCAATCCAAAAAGAAGGTCTTCGTGCTATCGCACTTCCTAAAAGGAAAGGCACATAAATTCTATATACGGGAGGTATCGGGAGACCCTTACCGATGGAGACTGCGTGAATTCTTCACCGAGATGTTCAATTATTGCTTCCCTATCAATTTTAGGACCAAGCAGCATGAAAACGAAGCGATGCTTCCAAAATGACAAACCTGTTCGAGACTACATTTACAAGCTCAACAAGCTGTGGAACATGATTGGGGATGTTGACGAGCGAGACCGAGTGACGTGACTGTGGACGGATCTGTCAGCCAATATTCAGAGAGAGCTCTGGAAAAAGGAGCTGAATCCGGAAATATCTACCTTCAAGGAGGTGCAGGCTGCGGCCGAAATCATCGAGATCGCCCATTCTGTACCTGTGGGACGGGAACGTAAGACAGGAAAGAGGGACAAGGAGAGCCACACTGAGATTGGCAGCTCTGCTATCTCCCCACAGCACCCTAACCCCAGAAAGGACAGAAATGGGGCCAGGTACCAACCTCAAACTGAATCTGGGGCTAAACGGCCCCGCCAGGACCCAAAGGGCCCACAGGAACACCGAAGGCAGGAAGCCCAGAGACCCCTGAGGACGGGGAACACCCTCAGTGCCGATGAGAAGGCGAGATTAAGTGCTGAAGGGAGGTCTACACCTGCAAAGAAACAGGACATCTGTCTAGGAGCTGTCCCAAAAGGACTAATATGAAATCAGACTCACCTAACCAGCCCTGGGACTACCCAGTTTCAGAGTGCATGTGGGAGTTGAAGACACAGAGTGACTACAACAGCTAGCTGAGGAGACAGACACCCAGGATGTTGTGTTCCTGGGGTCTGTGGGACTCTTCATGGAAGAGCCATTCGACATCCCATCCATAAACCCTGTAAAGGATGAACCTAGCAGTTCGATTTAGAGATCCCCTGGCTCGAAGGGCCGAGGATCGATTGCAAGGGCTGAAGTTTCCCTGGGATGGAGCGGATGGCCAACTCCATTTGACAGCTTGGGACGACCCAGATCGATTCTGGGTGCACAAGCTTAAGGATAAGGACACCTATGCGGTCAAGGATCATCATCACTGTAGGTATGGACCTGAGATGATGGAGATACCCCGGCGGCAGCTGGAAGACCCACACTTCTGCATAGACAGGGCCTACTGGCTGCACCTGGGGTGGTACTTTGCCACGGTGTGGAATAAGCACGAACTGCGGAAGCAGGAAAAACGATGCTGTGGTGACAAGATATGGCTGGGCTGTAGGTAAAAGCACCAAACCAAAATATATGAGTCTCCTGCTCTCCTAGCTGCTACTCTTGCTAGCAAGAACGTTCGACCCTAAAGGATCTCTGACTAGACTCAGGCTCAAAGAAAGAGAGTGGAGAAGGTACTCCAAGTCAAGGTAAGAAACTATGTTCCAGGAGCTATCTGGTGAGCTAAGAAGCTACAACTAGGAAAGCTACAACTAGGGGATGCTACTAAATAACCCAAGTGAATGGGGAGCAACCAAAGAACTGGAAACAGGGAAAACTAGGTAATGACTGTAGGGTCCTAGGTAAAGGGAAGATGATTATGTAAGCAGCAAAAGTGCGAATCTAATCTAAGGAAAGTGTCAATAAGAGATGCATAGTGAAAAGTGCCTCTGCAAGGCTACAGAAAGTTTGAACACCACAATGCACTGATAAAAGGCTGCCCATGGGCACCCCAATTGAGGACCGTGTCATGTGGTGGCTGGAGGAATACATAGCCCCTACAGAGACCCATTGGTCTTCAAAGACAGACCAGCGATTCAGCTGCATACGAATCAGCAAGGAAGCATACCAAGTGATGGACCACGCCCTCGCACTGAACACGCTGCTCCCATGGAAGACAGTCCGGCAATGGCATTGGAGCCTGGCACATTGGTACCAGCGGCAGTTGAACAAAGTGTCACTACAGTTAAGTAAAACACTGCTGGAGCACAATGACGATCAATATGACGGGCTTGCTGACCTTTTTACTAAGCCAAGCACCATGACACAATGTCTAGACGGCGTGCCAGGCGATCTGCTCAACCTCGCAGAGAGAGTTAGCACCTGCAAGGAAGAAGAAAGACTGTCAGAGGTCATGGTCTATGGGGTACAAGTGCCCCGAGGTACTTACCCGGCACTGCAACGCAACACGTCCATAACTCGAGACTTCTGGCGTGCGATTCCCAAGCCCATCGTCATAGTGGTCCATGTTGACGGACACCCAGCCTGAGCCTTAATAGACACTGGGTCGTTAGCTGACTTCATGTCCTTAACAACCACAGAACAAATTAAATGCAGGCTTACCGTGTTGGAGAAACCTCTAACCATACAGCTTGCAGTGCAAGGATCTAGGTCAAAGGTGAACTATGGCACCTAGGTCTGGTTCCAGTACCAGGACTTGGATTACCACCGATACTTTGATGTGATAAATCTGCAAAACTACGATTTGATACTTGGAACCCCCTTTCTGTACCAGCATAGTGTGACTGTGGGGTTCAACTCATTGAGGGTAATGCTGGGCAGTGTGGAACCGCTCCCACTAAAGGGGAGTGGAGTCACTATGCTAGAATCCAAGGCCATCGAAGTCTTCAAGGACCGAATCGAAAAGACGCAGGCCTACCTGATGGAACTGGCGAGGCCACTGTGTGCAAAGGCATCAGAAACAGCATTGCCCCTACTAAGAGCTATAAACCATACTGTACCTCTGATTGATGAGGCCAAGATCTACTCATGGCGACCCTTGCATTGCCCTGAGCCCATGAGGCCGCAATGGGCCGAAAAGAGAAGCGCCTACCTAACATCTGGCCAATGGCAGATGACAAGCGCGGGTAACACAGTCCCAATGCTGTTCATCCGGAAGCCTGGCACTGATCGCTTGAGAACAGTCGTGGACCTGCATGAGCGAAATAAAACACTCGAAAACTGACCTCACCCTTACCAGACATGGAGGGAATCCTGCGCAGGGTGGCGCATAAGAAGTACCGGTCCTTAATGGATGGGCAAGATGCATACGAACAGATACACGTCATCCCCGAGCACATGCCTCGAACGGCAATGACGACACCTGATGGAAATATGGTCAGTCATGTACTGCAACAAGGGGATTGCAATGCTCCTGTGACCTACCAGGCAGTAATGAATTATCTCTTCAGTGAACACATTGGCATATTCATGGATGTTTACCTGGATGACATAATAATCTACTCAGACACACTGGAGGAGCACATAGATCACGTATGGAAGATAGTCACCATCTTGGAGCGTGAACAGCTCTTTCTGAGCGAGAAAAAGCTTAAATTCTTGCAACTGAAAATGAGGATCCTAGGGCGGGTGGTCAATAACGACAGGATCCACATGGATCCTGACAAGGTGGATAAGGTGTTAAACTGGAAACCACCTACCAATCGAGACCTGTGTCGCGGATTCATTGGCATGGTGGGATACCTCGCTGACGACATCCACAGGGTTTGTATCCCGCTGGGAGTGCTGTCTGCCATATGCGGAGACACAGTACCCTTTCACTGGGACGAGACGGAACGGCGCGCCTTCGAGGAAGTCAAACGATACGTTGAGGCATGTTTGGATCACCACAGAGTGCCACTCACCTATGGCCCGACCCAACCGCAGGTATGGATGATGACAGATGCCTGCCCGACTGGGGTAGGCGGGGTGATAGCCCAGGGTAGCACTTGGCAAAAGGCCAAAGTAGCTGCATTCTACTCGGCAAAACTAAATGCCACGCAGCGAAACTACCCTGTCCACGAATAGGAAATGTTAGCGGGCATGGAGACTATGCTGAGGCATCAGGACATACTGCAGGGCTGCCCCTTCACATGGCTCACGGACCACAAGAGTCTGATTCATCTATTGAATCAAAAGAACTTGTCAGGGCGCCAAGCGCGATGGATGGAGAAGTTAGGCGAATTTGACTTCACCATTGAGTACCTACCAGGGGCACACAACATTTTGCCAGACGCACTGTCCAGGATGTATGACTTTGATGCACCTGGTACAGTGCGGTGTAGAGACTCGCGTTTCTCCAGGCTCATATGGGCCAAATCCACACCTTTTCACGATGCCCTCAATATCCTTGCAATGCGCCTTCTAAATTCAAAACGCGCCTCAAAACGCGACAAACGCGCATTTGCGTTAGCGTGTTTCAACCCATACATGCTTTCGCATTTTGAGTATCCACATCCCTGCAGTCGTGCATCTGTAATAACGCGCTTCTGTCGTGTTTTGCCCTAGCGCATTCGCTCTGTCGCGTTTCGCGTATCTTTGAGTTCAGTCGCATTTCGCATTCTGTCGCATTTCACGTTTCTTCGAGTTCCGTCGTGTTTCGTCGTGTTTCGCATTTTGTCGCATTTGTCGCGTTTCACGCTGTCGCGTTTTTCGTGTTGGTACGGTCGCACTTCGCCTTTCGTGTTTCACCTCCTATGCCGTCGCCTTTATAGCGCCTCGCCTTCTCTCATTCTCGCATTGACAAACCCTCGCTACTGCCTGTTCGCACCTTCCTGATTAGGCACATATGCGCTTTGGCGCGTACCAGCATGTTTGAGCGCGTTACATCGCACTTCATCGCACTTCCCTAGGATCCGTCGCCCATCCTCCGCATGTCCTGTCCTAGTCCTCCAAGGTCCATTGGTGCGTGCTCTTTTCACTAGAACTCATATGGCGTCACACAGGCACTTGTACTTATCACTATGTTTCATTATGGACCCTGACTTACCTCATCACATACCTTAGTGCTCCCTACTCAGTTCCGAGGCCTGGGAACTCGCTTAGCATACTTACATGTCAGCATGTTCATTTTTCTGTTTCTCACTTTCGCTCCACTACCATCAAAGTGTATAGTTCAAGTTTCTAGCAGAATACACTTGTTTCCCTCCTATTGGCGCTTTGACACCTTTAAGTGTCTATTCCTACATCTATCAAAGCCCTGATTCTCCCATTTGATTGTCACCTCTACTCGAAGCACTCCATTGTGATCACACGAAGTGCGCTTTGACATTGAAGTGCGCTTTTCTGCACTTTCCGCCTTATTAGCGCGTTTAGGCGCCTTTAGCTAGCGCTCTTCACTTTTGGGTGCATTACTTGCCTCAGTGTCCCATCCAGGCTTTGAGACCGAACCGCTGGTTATAGATCCCCCTCACCTTTCACTAGAGGAATCTTTCTCAGTAGCAATCCCCTTGGGACGACTTTCCACTCGTATCCAGAGGAGCACTTGAGAGCCCACTTCCCACTCTTCCCCCTAGCACGCAGCTATCATTCCTCGCCCTCAGTGGGTGCTGAGCAAATACGTGGCGCACGACGAAAACGCACCAATTGTTGACACGTCGGGACTGGCAAGTATGCCCATGCTTGTGGGAGCTGAGGCGGAAGCCCTATCCCTGCGCCGTAGCACCAGGGTCGCTCTATGGCCTCTCCAAACTCAGATTGGCCCAAGGAGAAACAAGCATACTGGGAGAAGTATGTTGGCCCCACACAGGCACCTCGGCCCAGGAATGGGCCAACGATCAAACGATCGACCATGGACTGAGGGTCAATGATCAATCAGTCAATTAGTTCATCGGAGGATGGCCAGGGTCACATACCTCAACCATCAACCGACCTCTCAGGTCCCATCAATGAGATGGGGACTAGGCAACCGGTGACAAAGGACCCACCTAGTAAGAGAGGGCAGCAATCCGCGCTGCCAGCAGAGACTGGGCGACCGGAAACAGGCAGAGAATTCGCTCAAAGGATGAAGAACAGATTCGTCCTGCATGGACCCAAAAGCCCTGCCGAATGAATGGAGGGGAGGGACCAGGAGAAGAGTCACCTGGACAAAGACAAGGAAAAACACGATGAAGTCAGCAAGGAAGTCACCACGCCGGAAGTAATACCAGTTACTTACCTGCACGAGACAGAACTGTTAGACCAGCTGCAACACCAATACACTAAGGATCCGCTCTTCAGGAAGATCCTTGAGTCGCCAAAAGAATTCCGTAACTTTGAAGTCAAAGACGGACTAGTAAGAATCAGGCTCAAGGACAGGGTGTCCTTGTGCATACCTGACATCAAGGTCGGGGAAAGATGCCTCATCGAAATGGTCATCGACCAGGCACACTCAATCCTGGCACACCTGGGTGCAGATAAAACACTATCCTACCTCCGAGAGCATGTGTGGTGGAAAACAATGGCACACAATGTGTGAACATTCTGTGTGTCCTGTAAAATGTGTCAGTGCAGCAAACCACCTAACTAGAAGCCCTATGGCCTCCTAAACCCCTTACTGGTGGCCTCCCAACCTTGAGAGGCCATTGGAATAGACTTTGTAGGCACACTCCCATTGTCCAAGGACTGGGATGGGGAATATGACTCAGTGATGGTCATAATCGACCTATAATCCGGAATGGTCCATTTGGTGCCAAGCTGAACGAACTATACAGCAAAAGATGTTGTTGAGTTAGTATTTGCGGAAGTCTATAGACACCATGGACTGCCCAGAGCCATCATCAGTGACTGGGATGTCCTGTTTACTAGCAATTTCTGGACTCGCCTGAATAAACTCATAGGCGTGCAGTTGAAGATGTCGAGTGCATACCACCCTGAAACGGATGGAGCAACCAAACGAGTGAACCGAACCATGACCCAAATGCTAAGAGCATGCATAGCCCCTAACCAACGGGACTGGGTGGCCAAACTTCCTGGAATAGAATTCACGATCAATCTCGTGCGATCTGAATTGACACTACTCTCACCTTTTTCATTGGATCAGGACAGACCCCGCGAGCAATGATTTGGGACATGCCCGGCTCCTCTGAGTATCCAGGAGTCCGGGTTTTCACCTAAAGAATGAAAGATGCTATAATGTCAGCCTACGACACCGTATTATCTGCCAGAGTGAAACAAACCTACGAAGCCAACAAGCACAGGCGAGCTTGCCCTATGATCAAGGGAGATCACATAATGCAGTGACATATTCCCTTACTTATAGGACAGCCCATGTTGACATTTCTCCATAACAGTCGGGCCATCCCATATGTAAGATTATCACCATATATACTGGGTGGGCCAGGCAGTAGACAATACCTGAGGCTCAGGGGTGGGCCTACACTACACACCTTGTGGAACTCAATAATATCATAGAGAGTAGTGTTATGGTATATAGGCTATGACTGCTAGATGTTACCCGAGGGTGAGGGATGGGCCCAGTATGTAGTTACCGACACAGCACCATTTGCAATAGGATGTCGGGAAATGGTATCGGGAAATACACATTGGCATTAGCACCGCCCAGAATGCTTGCCATGTTTTAATGACAAGGCATGGACCAGCAGGAGAATTTGCCAGGCACTCGGGGTGCTAACACCCATCACATCCTGCCGATAATTTACTGATTTCATGACTGAGATACCATTGTATCGCTTTTTACCCCTCTAACTCATGCACCGAGAAATACTGATGAACATGAGAGATAAAATTAGCCCAGGATTGTGTGTCCCGGTCAGGGAATACTCCAGGCACCCAGGGCGCCGGCAACGCTGACATTCCACTGGAATTTAAAGATTTTATGGTCAAGATACCATTTTCTTGCTTTTTACCGCTGTAACTCAGGGCCTGGGAAATATTGATGAAGGTGGAAGGTAACATTGGCCGGGGATCATGTGGACCGGTGGGGGCATATGTCAGGCACCCAGGGCGCCGACACCGCCAACATTCTGCCACATTTTATAGATTTCATGGTCAAGATACCATTTTTTGCCTTTTACCCCTCTAACTCATGTACCAAGAGATATTGATGAATATGAGAGGTAACATCGGAATAGCATGATATAGACCAGTGGGGAACTATATCAGGCACTTGGGGCACCGACTCTGCCGACATTCCACCGGACTTTAAAGACTTCATGGTCAAGATACCATTTTTTTGGTTTTTACCCCTCTAACGTGTGCACCAAGTAATATTGATGAATATGAGAGGTAACATTGGACTAGCATGATGTAGACCGGCGGGGGAGTATGCCAGGCACATGGGGCGCCGACTCTGCCGACATTCCACCAGAATTTAAAGATTTCATGGTGAAAATACATTGTTTTTGGTTTTTACCCCCCTAAAGCCTGCACCGAGGAATGTTGATGAATATGAGAGGTAACACTAGCCCAGGATTGTTTGACCCGGTCGGGGAATATGTCAGGCACCCAGGGCGCCGACTCTGCCGATGTTCCACCAGAATTTAAAGATTTCATGGTCAAAGTACCTTTTTTTTTTGGTTTTTACTCCTCTAACTCATGCACCGAGAGATATTGATGAATATCAGAGGGTAACATTGGGCTAGCATGATGTAGAGCGGTGGGGGAGTATATCAGGCACTTGGGGTGCCGACTCTGCCGACCTTCCCCCGGACTTTAAAGATTTCATGGTCAAAGTATCTTTTTTTTGGTTTTTACCCCTCTAACGCATGCACCAAGGAATGTTGATGAATATGAGAGGTAACATGAGGCTAGCATGATGTAGACCGGCGGGGGAGTATGCCAGGCACTCGGGGCGCCGACTCTGCCCACCTTCCACCGGAATTTAAAGATTTCATGGTCAAAGTACCATTTTTTTTTTGGTTTTCACCCCCCTAACATGTGCACCAAGGAATATTGATGAATATGAGAGGTAACATTGGCCGGGGATCATGTGGACCGGCGGGGACATATGTCAGGCACCCATGGCGCCAACTCTGCTGACATTCCACCGGACTTTAAAGATTTCATGGTCAAAATACAATTTTTTTGGTTTTTACCCCCCTAATGCCTGCACCGAGGAATATTGATTAATATGAGAGGTAACATCAGCCCAGGATTGTTTGACCCAGTCGGGGAATATGTCAGGCACCCAGGGCGCCGACTCTGCCGATGTTCCACCGGAATTTAAAGATTTCATGGTCAAGATACCATTTTCTTGCTTTCCCCCCTCTAACTCATGCACCAAGGAACACCTACGAATATGAGATGGTAACATTAGGCTAGCATAATGTATACCGGCGGGGGAGTATGCCAGGCACTCAGGGCGCCGACTCTGCTGACCTTCCACCGGAATTTAAAGATTTCATGGTCAAAGTACCATTTTTTTTGGTTTTTACCCCCCTAACATGTGCACCGAGGGATATTGATGAATATGAGAGGTAACATTGGCCGGGGATTATGTGGACCAGCGGGGGAATATGTTAGGCACCCAGGGCGCCGACTCTGCCGATGTTCCACCAGAATTTACAGATTTCATGGTCAAAGTACCATTTTTTTGATTTTACCCCCCTAACACGTGCACCGAGACATATTCATGAAAGTGAAAAGTAACATTGGCCCAAGATCATGTGGACCAGTGGATACAATAGTCTACATTCCATAGTCTTAACTCAATAGTCTACCACTTAAAGTCTTCACTCAATAGCCTAATACAATGGTGTGTAAACTTGATAGTCTTTACATGAGAGTCTAATGCATACCCTTAACTCAATAGCCTTAACTCAATAGTCTTAACTTGATAGTCTTAACTTGATAGCTTTAACTTGATAGCTTTAACTTGATAGTCTTAACTCAATAGCCTTCATTGTTAACTCGACAGTGTTAACTTGATAGCTTTAACTTTTAACTCAATATCCTTAACTCAATAGTCTTAACTCAATAGCCTTAACTCAATAATCTTAACTTGATAGCCTGATACAACAGTGTCAACTGTGAGAAAATAGTATCTTGACCATGAAATGTGTAAAATGTAGCACAATGTCGGTGGCATCAGTGCCCTGGGTGTGTGGCATATTCCCTGACTGAGACACATAATCCCAGTTCCTGGCCAATGTTACCTTCCACCTTCATCAATATTTCCCGGTGCCCAGGTTACAGGGTTAAAAAGCAAGATTATAATGTGGCACAATGTCGGTGGTGTCGGCGCCCCAAGTGCCTGATATCTTCTCCCACTGGTCTCCCCGGTGTGGGTATCACAACCTGGCAGGCACATATAAGAAAAATGCTCAGCCAGTATAAGTGAGTCTCAGCTCTGCCTAGCTGCTATACTCGCAGAATGCAAGAACGTTTGACCCTAAAGGGGAAGCAAGGAAAGCAAGGATCCACGGAATGATGCTGAACAACCCTGGTGAATGGTGGTGAAATGCGGTGAAGGCGCGCGCGGGAAAGCGAAGTGTGAAGGTGCGCGGAGCGCGGGAAGGTAGTGCAAGCGGTGCACAAGTGTAGAAGATGGATACTGAGACTGATAAGAGGAAAAGCGCGGATCTAGACGGATACTGACAGTGCCACTAGCTATAGACTGATGCTAGGGCCTCAAGATGATGAAGGACACATGCATTGCATGGAACTAACTGATGATAGATACTGAGTGGTAGGAAGGTAAGGTGGGTGTAAAACCGAACATGAGTGTATGTAAGTTCTACCTAAGCGCTCTCCCAGGGCTCAGAGCCGAATAGGGAGCGCTCTAAGTATGTAAATGAGGTAAGGTGATGTAAAGTAAGGGTGCATAATGAAATGGGAAGTGTAATATGCTAAATATGGTCAGATAACGAAAAGAAACATACCGAGGGACTGGTTGGACGATGGATGGATGCTCCTGGATGCTGTGCGACATAGTGCTTAAGCGCGAGAAAGCGCGCAAGGCGCGCATGTGGGAATACTGCGCTGAAGATGAGGAATCGTGAGTGGGTCTATACTGAAAAATATAAGATAAGTCGCCTGCAGTAGTCCTCGAACGCGAGTAGAAGTCGGCCCAAGAGGATCTTTACTGAGTCTTTTCCTCGAGTAAATGCGAGGGGATGCGCTGAACGAGTCAGCAAGGGAATCTGCGCAAAGCGCGGGTGCGAGACGCCTTGTAAATGTGAAACGCGCGTTAACGCGATGAAAGGCGAAAGCGCGACGTAGGCGGAACAAGCGCGCTATAGGGGGCAGTGAAGAGGCGGAAGTAGCGCGAAGGTCTCTCAAGATTTTCTCAAGAGAGCTTGTTGCAAAAGAATAGAGAGTCGCGCAGTGGTTGTGTTGCAAATGAATAGAAATTGATTCACAGTATACACTGATGCAGGATGATGGGATGTAGTGAGTAAGTAAGTAAGTGAAAAATCTATCAGAGTCCCCATGTCTAAGGTAAATGTTCCCAGGCGCTGAGCCGAAGCGGAAAGCGAAGCGAAAAAGAGTTGTTGTGTTGTAGAATAAGGAAATATGTGTAAACAGACGAGGTATATAGCTAAAGTCAGTTGAAAAGATAAAGGGAGATGCACCAGCGGATCATAGAGGGACAGGACAGGACGTGCAGAGGACAGGCGACTTGGAAAAGTGAACGCGAAGGTAAAGCGCGAAAGCGCGCGCAAAGGCGCCGTAGTAACGCGAAAGGCGCTATAGAGGCGCGCTATAGGCGCCAGATGCGCGGATGCGCGGATTAGGCGGAAGTGTCGCGCGTTTAGCGCGTTTAAGTCGCCTTGTCGTATATAGCGCGCGTTAGTGGAGACGAAGTGGAAATACGGCCTTTGTGAGGCTACTCGCAATGGAGTCTCTACAGCGCGTTGTGCGGGAAAGTGGTGCACTCTATAGGGAATGACTAGAGGGTGATGGTGCAAGTTGTGCCGTGAAGGCCAGTCATCAGAATTCATAATATGAGCCCATATGAGCCCGCAGAAATGCAAGTCTCTACACCGGGCTAAGGATCCCCTTGCCAAAGCTAATGGGCCACATTCCAAATGTCCATTTACCGCCGACCCCATTTCCCGGTGTAATGCTGCCAATGTTTATTGACCCAGCTGATGCAAGTAGACTATTGTAGACCATTGCCGGCAATCATTCCTGATATCTATATGTGCATCCTGTTTCCAGAATACTATCACCGACCTTCCACCTTCATCAATATTTCCTGGTGCATGAGTTAAAGGGGTAAAAAGCGAGAAAATAGTATCTTGACCATGAAATCTTTACAATGCGGCAGAATGTTGGCGGTGTTGGTGCCCTGAGTGCCTGGCATATTCCCGACCGGGACACACAATATTGGGCTAATGTTATCTCTCAAATTCATCAATATTCCTTGGTGCACACATTAGAGGGGTAAAAAGCAAAAAAAAAATGGTATTTTGACCATGAAATCTTTAAAGTCTGGCGGAATGTTGGGAGAGTCAGTGCCCCGAGTGCCTGACATATTTCCCCACGGGTCTACATCATGCTAACCCAATGTCACCTCTCATATTCATCAATATCCCTTGGTGCATGAGTTAGAGGGGTAAAAACCAACAAAATGGTCTTTTGACCATGAAATCTTTAAGTTCCAGTGGAATGTCAGCAGTGTCAGCGCCCTGGGTGCCTGGCATATTGCCTGACCAGGACACACAATCCTGGGTTAATGTTACCTCTCATATTCATCGGTGTTCCTCGGTGCATGAGTTAGAGTGGCAAAAACCAAAAACAAATGGTCTTTTCACCATGAAATATTTAAAGTCCAGCAAAATGTTGGTGGTGTCGGCGACCTGGGTGCCTGACATATGCCCCCACCGGTCTACATGATCCCCAGCCAATGTTACCTCTCATATTCATCAATATTCCTTGGTGCACGTGTTAGGGGGGTGAAAACCAAAAAAAATGGTACTTTGACCATGAAATCTTTAAATTCCGGTGGAAGGTCGGCAGAGTCGGCGCCCCGAGTGCCTGGCATACTCCCCCGCCGGTCTACATTATGCTAGCCTAATGTTACCTCTCATATTCATCAGTGTTCCTTGGTGCATGAGTTAGAGGGGGAAAAGCTAGAAAATGGTATCTTGACCATGAAATCTTTAAATTCCTGTGGAACATTGGCAGAGTCGGCGCTATGGGTGCCTGACATATGCCCCCACCTGTCCACATGATCCCCAGCCAATGTTACCTCTCATATTCATCAATATTCCTCAGTGCACGTGTTAGGGGGGTAAAAAACAAAAATGGTATCTTGACCATGAAATCTTTAAATTTCAGTGGAACGTCGGCAGAGTCGGCGCCCCTGGCATACTCCCCTGCCGGTCTACATTATGCTAGCATAATGTTACCTCTCATATTCATTGGTGTTCCTCGGTGCATGAGTTAGAGGGGGGAAAAAAGCAAGAAAATAGTATCATGACCATGAAATCTTTAAATCCCAGTGGAATGTCGGTGGTCTCGGCGCCCTGGGTGCCTGACATATGCCCCTACCGGTCCACATGATCCCTGGCCAATGTTACCTCTCACATTCATCAATATTCCTTGGTGCAGGCTTTAGGGGGGTAAAAACCAAAAAAAGTATTTTCACCATGAAATCTTTAAATTCTGGTGGAATGTCGGCAGAGTCGGCGCCCCGAGTGCCTGGCATACTCCCCCGCCGGTCTACATCATGCTAGTCCAATGTTACCTCTCATATTCATCAATATTCCTCGGTGCACATGTTAGAGGGGTAAAAACCAAAAAAATGTTATTTTGACCATGAAATCTTTAAAGTCCAGCAAAACATCGGCGGTGTCGGCGCCCCGAGTGCCTGACATACTCCCCCACCAGTCAACATGATCCCTGGCCAATGTTACCTTCCACCTTCATCAATATTTCCTGGTCCCCAAGTTACAGCGGTAAAAAGCAAGAAAATGGTATCTTGACCATGAAATCTTTAAAGTCCGATGGAACATTGGCAGAGTCGGCGCCATGGGTGCCTGACATATGCCCCCGCCATCCACATGATCCCTTAAAGTCCGGCGGAATGTCAGCAGTGTTAGTGCCCTGAGTGTGTGACATATTCTCCGATTGATCTACATGATCCCTGGGCTGCATTCCAAATGCCCATTTATTGCCAACCCCATTTCCCGGTGTACTGGCGCCGATACTTATTGACCCGGCCAATGCACATAGACCATTGTAGACCATCACCAGCAATCATTTCCAATATTCATATGCACATCCTATTTCCCAGAATACAATCACCAATGCTAATGGACCATTGCCGGACATCATACCTGATATCTATGCGCTGATGCTGTTTTCCAGGATCCCCTTGCCGAAGCTAGTGGGCCGCATTCCAAATTCCCATTTATTGCCGATCCCATTTCCCGGCCTACTGCCACCAATACTTATGGACCATGGGCCCACCCGAAGGTGGTCAGGACTCAATATTGTAGGCCCACCCCTCAATACACATACATTAATTCCGATACCCATGGGCCCACTCCGGAGCATCAAGCCCATTCTACTGTGGGCCCATGGTGGGCTGGCCCGACACCTATGGAGAAATGTCAACTTGGGCTGGCCGAGTCTATAGGGTCAAGTCACTGAAGGGGCTCAACAGATTGTTCCCCGGACGACTCGAAATGCAAGTGGCAGATTTCGAGGCCTCCGAAGCCGAGTGGGCGATCGACAGAATCTTATCGCACCACGGGCGACGGACGGACGCCTTGTTTGAAATTCTGTGGAAGTCAGGGGACAAAACCTGGTTACCTTATGCGCAAGTTGAAAAATTGGGCGCACTTACCGAGCATTTGAGTTTCCTTGGGATCCAAGATGTCTCGGATTTGATGGACGGCAGTGGGGAACCTCCGAAAGATGACCCCCAGGTGTTTTTAGGGCACCTTACCTGCGATGGACTAGCCTATAAAGTCCCTATCTCCCACTTCCTCAAATACTCCCTCGCCTTCTCTAGATCCTCCATCACAAACCATCCCTTGACCATCCACTCCACCCAGAAACAGCCCAGTATGGCACCCACTCTGCTCAACCACGTCAGCGCTCGTCACTTCACCTTACCCAACACGCTGGGAGAGGATGGGGAGATGCTTGTCACCACCGACATCCTCCGCGCCTACCTCGAATACAACACTCACCTCAGAGCCGGCACTGCTGCTCTTCGTTACACGCCCAGCGGGTACGGCAACTTCGCACTGGCCTTCAACCTCATGCAAACTGAGGCCGGGCGTACCTCTCAGATGGCGCAAGGGGGCCCCGACGAACCTCGCATTTCCGGTCCTGCGCCCTCCCTGATTGACCTCATAGGAGAGGAGTCAGCTGCGCCTACCCCCGCATCCCGCGCATGCACCCCTGAAGGAGGGCATTACCTCAACCCTCAGAGGGCTGAGCTGCTCAAGGAAGCCCTGTGGATGAACCTGGAGACGTCAAAGAAAAATGTGAGTGGCGGGACAGGTCTATTGCTGAGCGAAAGGCGGCCAAAGCAGCCAAAGGTGACCCCAGCATCCACGGAACTAGACAAGCCACACAACACCAAGATAGAGGCGAATGGTCTAGCACAGGCTCTGGAATGGCCTCCCCCTCGCCTACTGCACTGGCGCGCATGGAGGTTGACGACGAAGAAAGGTCTTGCACCAAGGGCACTGGGAACACGACAGCAGGGACGAAGGAGACTGACCCTGCTTCGAAGAGGATTCCGAAGAAGAAGTGAAGGGTGTGGACCACCCTTGGAGGGGAGTATGTGGTGGTTACCTTGATCAAGGAGTAAAGGAACCGGCCATTGCCTGGAGCAAGAGCCTAGACCACTGTCTCGGCGAAACCCTAAGATGTATTTGATTTCTGTTTTCACCTTCAACAATTTATTTTATCTCGGGCACTTTACTTACCAAGTATTTAAACCCCCTACTTGTAACAAAGTCCCCTTAGTTCTTTCCAATCTACCCTGACTGGTATCTGGTTAACATTGCGTGAAAAGACTCTGTTTGTTACTTCCTGTGCCGTTACATCAAGTCACTACTTTGACTAACGTCACAGCTGCCCTTTGGCATCGCATCGGAGCCTAAAATAATATCTTATCTCTACCTTCACTATGCCCCGTCACTCCCTACGCAATGAGCTCCTTGATGAATTGGACGAGGCACAACTAGCCTTGAAAAAGGCAAGGCTTCAGCGTGCAATCCGAAGTTATGATCTCTCTGATTCTGATTCTGATGACTTGGATTCGGACGATTCTGACCTTGACACAATTATCACACCTCCGTCACCTCCTACCCCCCTTTTTTCTCTGACAGTTCTGACTTTGACTCCTCCAGCGATGAATCTGACCACTTCGCCGCATGTTGACACGCACGAAACCTGTTTCATACATGGTCATGATAAATTTATGACACATGCTAGTCCTTACTATAGCCTATACACTTCCCCTGAATTTTCTATACCTTACTTCAATTTACTTTAGACATTTCTAAGCATGTATCATTAAGATACGACTTAGCGGTTCAAACTAAATACTTAATGTACCCTTTATCCTTTCTATAATTCTTTATTTTATTTACCCCTATGCCAAACATATGTACATACACATTCTATGCACACTGTATTTACATCTAGGTACTCAAGGCAGTGGTGCCAACCAAACCAAGTTGAACTGGTTTGGAATTGATTGGTAATCAATGCACAGCAATAAGGCAGTGCTAGAAGGACCTGAAACACAGCCTTTGCTGAATATTCTAGAACATTCCATGAGTATATTACTAATCATTCCATGACATTCTATGACATTCTGGAATATTCTATAGTACATTAGTAATCAGTAGCACAGCCACTAGTCTAATAGTATATAAGGGGCTCATTTTCCCCTCTTGTGAATAAATCAATTTCATTCCCAAGTATTATCAGAGTGAGACAAAGTTTATAGGGGAACATTTTTTCACCCCTAAGATTCTTAGCCCCTACTATTTGAGTGAACATTCAAGTGATTATTAGGAGAAAATATTAGTTTATTTGCTCCACATCTTTGACATTATTCTTCGCACATTCTTCAGAAGTATTTGGCCACATTCTTGAGCCATCTTTGATTACATAATCATCCTTTATTCTAGTTCTCTTTTAGACACAGGAAAAGTTCTGTGGGGAGAATTATACATATTATTCATCAATCAGGGTAGACACAAATAAGACCTACAATCTGTCAACGAATATTAAGAGCTTGGCCACTTAAGACTACATCAAGGTGTACTCTATTCTAGACTGCGTCATTACTCATTGTGAGATCCTGAGCAGCAGAGAGTTGGTTTCGAGGCCACGTATTGGGACGATCCCACTAGTGAATTTGTTCTCCATTGCTGAGTATAAGTAAGAGATATCCAAGAGGGATATATATTAAAGTTCAAGCTCATTGCATACAGCTGCAACATATTATTCTGAAGCTTATAGCACTACCTTGTGCTACTATTGTTTCTATTGTTCTTTGCCTCTTTTACATCACTAGCGTTCGCTTGAAAAGTTCAACACATCTCGTCCCCCACGAACGCCCACATTATCAACCGTTGGTAATTGTCTGAACCGTTGACCGTGGAGGATTGTGAAATTTGGTGATTTTCTTGCCTTTCACATCCTAGTAAGACAACGTTATGACCGTCTGAACGACACCATCACTTCCCTTTGTGATGAGGTCATCAGGGCACGCGCACCTCAGGCAGTACTTCTCGGTACTATTAAAGGTCTTAGAGACCCCATTATTATGTTAGAGTTATATGGTCTAAGAGACCCAGCCTCGTAGATGAGCTAATTATAGCACACACCAAATATGACTTGCTTCCTCCACAGCGCCTCGCCGGATCCTCGTGGCCCTCGCTGAATTCTACATACACTCCGCTACGACCTTGCAAGACCCTCACCAACATCCCTGTCCGCTCCGTTCAGCCTCTGGATAGGGTGTATGGTGAGCCCACCAGATATAGAGCCTCGGCGCTCTTCTTGACATCTTGGGCACTGCTGTCAGTTGCCAAGTCTGTTTTTTCTATTCTGCACTACTACTACATTAACCACCATGCTGCCCATCCGTCCTACACGTGGTGCTCAACTGACGTCTATGGGACTAGGACACCACTTTGTGAGCCCGAAGAAAACTCGAGACCCCAAAAAAACACAGATGCTTGTTCGCATTCCTGGCGTTAACTCCCAACATCAACGCATCCTCGACCAAATGGCTGCATTGATGAAGCCACAAGATTGACTACCGGAATTCCTAGCTCTAAAGTTACACAGGCGACATTTCCAAGAACGGAATCAAGTGGATCAAGGATGAGTTGTATCGTCAAATTGGTATATTTGATCCATTTCATTTAATGTTTATTCACTGACAGCGAGGAACAGATGTACTGGGTGGCAAACCAACATCCACGAGGTTGTTTCCATGGAAGACGCTCCCATTGGAGCTCACGCGTATGTCGATGATCATCAAAGGATATCCGGAGGACGTGCTTCTCCCAGGTGGATTGCATATGGCTGTTAATAAAGGTATCTCAAACCTGACTCTGAAGGAGACTGGCATTCTTGTCGCAGCATTGAAGGCGGGGACCATGAGCATCAAAAAGTTTCTGAAGCTAAGCAAGGTATGTTTTCATCTTAGTCTTTGCATTCTCACAGTTGACCTTTTCGTACAGCTAAAGTCCTCACTTCTGAGTGCCCAGTACTGGAGGGTTCACCTCCTGCAGCAGATTTGGTTCACACCACTGGACACTGTCTTTTTGTGAACGGCAAAACTGATTGCCTGGGTGCTCCACGCCAGAAGCAGAGTATAGCTGCAACAAAAGTCAAAGGGAAAACATCGAAGAAAGCATCAACACTGCCTCCTTCCGACAACGAGTCTGACAATGAACGAAACACGGCTGCATCTGTCCGCCCTAAACCTCCCCCCTCCCGAGAGTTCAGAGTCGTTGCACGCCCAACGGGCCAGAAGATGGTGAAGGAGGTCATCTTGGTATCTAGCGATTCTCCGTCTGGCTCAGAGGACCCAGATGAAGACATGGAGCAAGCAGCGACTCACGACACCGACTATGAAGATGATGTTTCGTCCAAGAAGCGGAAAGCGAAATCAGAGGGCACCTCACGAGCATCCAAGAAGAGGGTCTCGCCATCTGTTGCAAAGAAAGGTAAGGAACCTGTGAGGCCCAAGGCCAAGGAGGCTGCTGAGCCCTCTGGAGATGATCGTCAATATGTGGCAGTGTGAGGTATGTCTTTGCTTTCTTTTTCCTCTCACTTCCTACTACAAGATAGCTGATGTATGTTATGTATGCTATTTAGTTCGACCTAGGCCTAAGGCCAAGGGACCCGCCGAGAGGAGAACACCACTGGAGACTGCTGAGCCCTCCGGTGATGAACATGTTCAAGATGTGACAGTGCGAGGTATGATTTCCTGTTCTTTCTTTTCGTTTGGTTCTAGGTAGCTGACGTATACTATAGTCCAACCTGCCAAACGTCTGTGTGATGCAGCCCAAGGTACTGATTTGTTGACAGGTACCATTTCATTGACATCACTGTATTTCTCACTAACTGATACAATCCTTAGAACATCCTGTGACCGCGAATCCCCTCATAGATAACAATGCTGCCGTCATCTCCAAGAGCCTCCCCACACGTTCCTCGTCACCCTCCCCAACTCATTGTGATTTGAAGGACTTAGTCCTGGACAACGTTGTGCGTGCCGGATCTCTCGTGCCAGCTTCTAAGTCACCTGCCATGCAACCTCCATCCCTCCCACGTGGAGAACCTCTTCTGCCGGCTGCTCCGGCACCTATCGTGCAACCTCCATCTGTCCAGTTTGGGGAATCTCTTGGGCCGGCAATGCAGGCACCCATCATGCAACCTCCATCCGCACAGGCACCCATCGTGCAACCTCCATCCACCCAACGTGGGGAATCTCTTGGGCCGGTACAACCTCTAGCTACGCACCATGGGCACAGTGAGATGCGACGTGCTGAGTCAGAGATGGCAACTGTACCTGCCGACGGAGACATCAATACCGAGAATCACCCCCATGATGCATGCACATGATGCAGACATGAGACTGGGGATGTATGGTCAATGCCCAAGGGGTCCAATGCCATCACACTATGGACCTGGCTATGCCCGGTACCTGCAGTCCGAATATTATCATGATTCTTGCATCCCTCACGATCCTCGCATCCCTCACACTCCTCAGCCCCCACATGGTCCTCAGCCCCTGCATGGTCCTCAGCCCCCACATGGCCCTCAGCCCCCGCACAGCCCTCAATATCACAGCGGCTATTACAATGCTCCCTACCGCGACTCTAGAGATGGTTTTGAGGGTTATGTCGAGAGCTATTGGCACCCTCCAAGTAGCTTATATTATGGTCTGGGAGGCAGATATCAGCATGGGTATGGGCGTGAGTACCCTAACAAGTATCCTCAGGACCCGGAGGATGGAGGACAAGCTCCTTAGACTTGCAGGCCTCATTTTTGTTCAACCATTCGGCGGCATTGAAGTGACTTCCTCCGCCACGCATATATTGAGTTGTATCGTTATTTTGCACATTGAACTCATACTTCCGATCTTTTGCTGTTGTTCTTGCCATTGATGTATCTACCCGCGTCCTTTTGTATATACCATAGTACTAAGCAATGCATCATTTTGAATCTGAATCAGGCCTTGTTCCATCAGAGAGGAAGAACTGAAAAAAAATTCAATTTTCGCCATCGGAGAGTGTCTAGAAGGTATATCAGAAAAAACATATGAATTCCAGAGGCTCCCGATGACATCCGTGATGACACTCGCCAACGGTCGCTATGTTGAGGCTCTTGAGGGAGCATATTGGGAGGCTGCACTCACCCTCTGTGACGAGGCTCTGGTTACATCACCCTCAACACTGGCAGCACTTTGCAGATGTTCCCACGTACTGTTAGACCCTCCTTGGAAAACTAGGGAGAAGCCTCCTGGAGGATGGGGTCTCTCAGACCATATAATCCCTACATAAAAAAGGGTCTAACAGTACGTGGGAACAGCTGCAAAGCGCTGCCAAGGGTGGGCATGTGTCCTCCATCAACCAAACACACCTCCCATGTGAGCCCCCCAAATACAACTCCTTCACGATTTCGGGGACTCTCGACATCACCTGTTCCGCAAGAAGCTTCACGTCAATCCAGACACATTTGACGACATCCTAGATCAAATTTCGGGTCACGCCATCTTCACCAATCGCTCAAATAACCCGCAGCTCCCCATCGTGGTCCAACTCGCAATATTTCTTAACCGTGCCAGCCACTACAGCAATGCCATATCTCCGGAAGACGTGGCTCAGCGGGCTGGTGTTAGCATCGGCTCGGTAATCAATTGCAGCAATCGTGTCATGATCACCATTCTTGATCTCCACGATACGTTTATTGTCTTCCCTGCTCTTGACTCTGATGATGCAGAGCAGGCTTGCCGATTCGTCGAGGCGAGGTCATGTCCCAAGTGGAGAAACGGGATCTTCGCAGTTGATGGCTCTGCAATTAATCTGTATGAAAAGCCCGGTCTTTATGGTGAAGCGTTTTATGACAGGAAATCAAATTATTCTCTCAATTGTCAGGTATGTTTTTTCCTCTTATTCTAATGGT